AGTTGTACTCTGCTTCACTGTCGTCTCGAGGCATATTTAAGATGTCGATCTAGACTTTTTCCATCGGTGCATATGCAGGTGCGCTTGGATTGTGGTGCGACAGAAAAGGTTGATGGGGAAGATCAGCCTCGGGACACGTGAAGCATGGTGCGCGAGGTCATCGAAGCTCCTGGCCACTCGTTGTGAGAAGAGCGTCTTTTTCTAATACTCCGGCCTGTATAGTTTGTGGTACTGTGCTGTTTGCAGGGTGTCCGAGGCATTGATGCCAGATGTCGTCAGGAGCGCGATGGCCGGGTGAGCGCTGGTACATGTCGGCGTTGGAGAAGAACGCGACGACCGTGGCGGGACTGCGGCAGACTCCTCGGGCGATGGGCATGAGTTGATCTGCATGGGATGGTGGTCTTCGGATTGCTGGTGATGGCGCACGGCTGGGTCTTGCTGCTGGTGGGTGAGGGACGCTTGCAGGTACTTGTCGTTCTTGTCGGATGACTGCTAATGCTTGTGTTCTCTCTGCTGCATGGATGGTGTTGGAGTACCAGAATCCGTCTGGAGTGAAGTCGGGGTCAAGATCTGGCGGATGTGTCCATGCAGCAAATGTGTCGCTCCCGTTGAACGAAGCGCCCGGAAGAACACATGTGTTGACCGCAGCAACTGTCCAAGAACCAGGTGTTTCGTCCAGTGGGTTCGGCGTTAGCAACTGCAGCATATGTGGGTTGACTTGAAGACCTTGTGAGCGCGGCGGTGGTAGTTCTTCTTCGTCTGGAGCGTAAGTGGGTGGTGACTTGGGTCTGCAGCTGTCGATCCGTACCATGCAGTTGATGATGTTTGGTGTGTCTCGTGCAGGTGTAGAGGAGCGGCTTGGCAGATTCTCTTAAGTTGAGGCGACTTGTGGATCTGCAAGACGATAAACTCGAGGGCGCGTGCAGTTAACCTTGGAGTGTCCGGATGTCTGACAATTGTGGCAGAACGGCAGCACGACGATGAGACCTCTTGTGTCATATCGATTCTGCCTATCGCGTCGGTTGTAGTTGTTGTCGTTTTTTCTTTGAGTGTAGAAGACTAATGGCTGCTGCTTGTTCCGTGGTTGTCTTTCTTCAAACAGGTCCATCTTCTGTTGTTCAGCGTGAAGCTCGGCGTAGAGGTGCATCTCGGACATTCGTCCGTGGGCGCGAAGAAGCGAGCGGGTGGTTCTCCATTCTCGCCCGAGCCCGGCGAGGACAAGTTTCATGAAGCTTTCTTCAGTGATTGTACCTCCGCACCGAAGCAGGCGGTCGCGGAGTGTCTGACAGCGACTCATATACTGCATCGCCTTTTCCTCGGTCTTCATTTGTATTGTGGTCAACTGCTGCATGAGTCTGCTTTGTGTCACGCTGTCGTTTGCTTCATAGAGACACTTCAGATGATGCCAGGCGAGCTCCGCGAAGTTTCCGTGGCTCCGATACGTTCTGATGCTCTGTTGCTCTTGTGGTGATAGATTTCGCAGGAGAACTGTGTACGCTAGCAGCGACTGATAAGTGAAGATTTCCTGCTCCTTTGCAGTGCCATTACTTTGAAATTGCAGGGACCCGTTGAAGTATCCTAAGAGGTGCGCAGCCTCCATCAGCAGCTCGAACTCAAAACTCCAGGTAAAGAAGTCGTGGCCGTTGAATGGTGAAGATGTCTGCAGTTTGATCACGTGTGAAAACTGCGCCTGGAGACTCAATATCTCGTTTGGTGTCTGTTGTGATGCAGCTGCTGTCGGTTGAGCACGGGGCGCCATGAACTCGAACGTCCCTGGTGAAGAGTGATAAGGCGCAAAGGTAGGCGACTGATTGTGTCGCCCGAATGATGAGTTGTCGAGGCTCATTGGTGCTAATCCCATATTTTCTTCGTTGCTCTGTGTTGAATGCGCAGGTGTCATTGTCTGCTGCTGCTGGTCAAAGTGCGACATGAAGCTGAAGAACCTTTCCATAAGGTTCGGGTCCACGCTTGAAGAGGGTGAAGGGGTCACCATTTCTAATACCCTCCCTGTTGTTTCTTGAGCAGCGCGGGTCTCAGTTTGTAGTCCTAAAGTGTGTAGTCCGGAGTTGCCGAGTTGAGTGTCTTGGGCGTTGGGTGAGCCCGTAGAAGACTTCTTGCCCTTGTTGTCCATGACTTATAATCGACGAATCTCTTGATGTGCTTGACTGTAGATAGAGCGTTGTTGCTGGGAGTTTGGTCTCTGACCAACTCTCATACCATATTGGGGTGAGAAAACCCTTAGGATCTTTCCAGAGACTGAGTCCCACTTGTATAAGGTGTTTGAGTAGTGCAGCAGAAGTGTTGAGTAGTTGAACCCTTGCACTAGTATGTAAGAGCAAGTGATTGATTAAAGAGGAACAAGCATACAGAAATATATAGAAAATATAAAATAGAGTAGTTGTAGAATACAGTTGAAGAAACGGTTATCGAGTCGCACAACGACTCGATCGTTGGTTCGGTTACCACCCTTGCAGTCGCAACGGTCAGTCGCAACCTCCTATTGCAACCCTTCGAGTCCCTTCGTCCTTCGTGTTCTTTCGTCCAACCACCTTGTGTAACCTCCGTTGACTTGTGTACTCGATACGACTTTTCTTCGAGTGAAGTGTTGTACTTCAGAAACGCTTAAGTGTTCGAGGTGTTTTCCAACAAGTAGTTCCGATAGATATTGTCGAGCCACACTGTAGTTAGCATTCGTAGAATGACGTAAGCAAATAACAGTCGTCTTGATGGTTACGTCAGCAGGTCGTTTTAGTTACGCGAACAGTCGTGCTCCTTTCAGTAGCTATTAGAGCGCATAGCGCAAATAGTTTTGAACAGGTACATTACTGAAAAAATACTTCTAGCAGATATAAGAGTAACTGGTATGACTTCAATTACTAACTTGTTCTTGAGTAAATTCTGGTCAACACTTACAAGTTCTAAGACTTCCGCAGTCTTACTAGTCTACCGTTCTAGCAAAGATCCTTGTTATAACTTGTTAATACTGGCTTTTACTGGAGGTACTTCCAGTATTACTTTCTACTTCAAGTACTTATGTCTGCATATTCTATACTTCGTCTCCTGCACCACCTTTCAATTTCATTCACCTATAATTGCCTAGGCCCTCATTTGTGTAGACACTCTTTATCACACTACCTGTTGTTACTCTGATTATTTCATTACAAAGTTCGAAATTTGCTACACAGGAAGTATGGACGAACGAAGGTTCATCAGCGTGTTCCTTTGACCCTTCCTCACAAACAGTTTGCATTGTCGGTGGTGGTGGGCGAACCGACAGCTGGAACTCGACTGTGCATAGAGGAGGCAAACAGTTCCGCACATGCAGTGCCCCTTAGTTCACGTGTAGGGATGGTCAGCGCATTGAATCACATGCAAACTTGAAGCAAACTGACCGCTCGTATTTTTCCCGCCGCGATCCGATCCCACACCATTCGTCCGTTCCAACTCGAAGGGACGATTGACGCACACTCTCTCAGAGTTACACCGGCCTAGCTGGCTTACTGTTCACTCGTCCATCCCCCTTGTGGGAGCAGCCAAGCTCCACAAAATTGCCTTCTCCTGCCCCTCGCTCATTCATTCACAATGCCCAGGGGATGTCCTCAGGGGATGCCCCTCTGGAATGCCCTCAGGTGATGCCCCCTTGCATTCACCATGCATCCACCCCACTGCACAAGGTCACCCATATCGAATCGCGGTCAGTTTCTCGGAATCAGAATCGTCCGACGAATCGGAAGTGTGTGCCCCATCTGTGGTCCACTTGGCTTGGTGGCTATTTGATGTTCAAGGGTGATAAAAATGGTAACCGGAGACTTTATAGTCTGCAAAATAAACGACAACGCTGTTGTACTTATCAAAGGGATGGCGAAATTGCTCAGGTAGCCGGAGTCCTGATTGGAGATTGAGGAATATTTGTACAGGTGTTTACCAAGACTGTTCAGTTTTTGGGCGAAACGCCCGTTTTTCCCAGGGTGGAGTCCAAACCGAAGCTTTCTGTCTTCGTCTTTCGAGATCACATTTTCTGACAGTTTCGATGCTTGATTCCGACAGCTTCCAGCTTGCATCTTGCATGGCTACGATTCACGCTGAGAGTACTGTAGCGCTCCTTCCGCTTCCACCGATGCAGTCCACGATATCACGCGCACCATTGGCGTAATGATGAAAGGACATGCTTCACGATGACTGCTCGCATGTATTCAATGCGCTCGTAAACCAGCGTTCGAACCATGAAAGGTACGAGATACACCATATTCCAGTGATAACTTTGCAAAGAGCCCACTCCTTCTATATCACACATTGAAATGTGAATTCGCGCATTGCTTAACCTTCCCCTCCCCTCCTCCCCTACCTTCTCTCCTCTTCTGGCTTTGATTAGAGTAACCAAATAATTATAAAGTGTACACTTTTTTGCCCGAGTTTGGTGGAACCCACAGCTGATGCAATCTCCCATGCAACTAACGAATCCAAGTCTCCCAACGAGTCCACATGCTCTCCACCACCACCCAACCGAAAGCTCTCACCAAGCGTCATCCCGACCTCATCTTCCTCCAGCGTTTGGCCTGGCCATAAATGGTGACATGATCCATGATCCCCCCCGATCGGCGCTCCGATCCGCACATCACTGACACCAACCCTCGATCCCCCCAGCACATGGTCCACCCGGCCACGTCTGCACCCCCCTCGCTCCCACCACCGCCCACGAGCCCCCCCTTGCCCCGCCAAATCCACCACACCCCCCCCCCCTCCCCCCACTCCCCCTCCCACCTTCAGTAACAACTTCCCCCCTTCCGCAATTCACTTTCCCACTTCCCCTTCTCCCCGGAAACCCCCACCCTCCTTTCCCCCCCATTCTCAGGATTCTCCCGCTTCCCCCCGATTCTCCCCTTCGCGCCCCCAGGATTCTCTCCTCCTGTCCCTGTCTGTCCCTCTCCTTTCCCCAGGCTCTTTTTGCCCAACGAGTCCACCATAAAAGAGCCAACACCCCTCCCACCTATTTCGTTTCCAGTCTCCTATCAGCAAGCAAGCAACTCACACAACCTGCTCAAGTCAAGTCAATACAGCGTCTAAACTTACCCTGATCCAGCACAAGAGCCGACCTTGAGTCTTCACTCAAAACGATTTCTTCCACTAAGCCAAAGCTCGATCTCCTTACACGTTCTGCACCTTCGCCTTCTTACAAAATTTTAAACCATGGAGCTGGAAGCGCTCGAGAGCAAGCTGCATCTTCTGGACCTCCACCGCCAGCTCAGCGCGGTTCACTGCCAGAACTTCATCCGTATCCTCGAGTCGTCGCTCGCCGAATGCGCCACGCAATCCGACCACGATTCGAACGACGCCGCGGGGGCAGCAGATGACGATTTCCGAGTCAGCGCGGAAAAGCCCGTCGGGCTGTCCGTGCCACGTGCCTTCTCGCGAAGCGGCGACGCCGCGACGTCTTGGGATTCTCTCAGCAGCAGCGTCATCAGCAGCAGTTCGAGCAACAGCAGCAGCAGCAGCGGTAGCTGGGAAGCGGATCTGAGCTTTTATGACGAGTCCTGCCCGATCTCCCGCACCCATTCCCACTCGCACTCTCACTCCCGCCGCAGCAGCACTGGGAGGAAGCAACACGTACGCTCAACCGCGTCTTCCCCGCGCGGACACGCGCCGAAGAGCAGCCTGCGCCGCCACTCGAGCCTTAACACCGACGCGGCTCGGGACTTTCCGTGAACGACGATTATCCGACGCGGTTAGCTTTTCTGGTTTGATCTGCAAACTCGTCTTCGCGCGCGGACGCCGACGAATAGCTAGTGGATAGCAGCCTCCGCCCCCTCATGAATGTTAACACCGACGCGGCGACATACTTGCGCCAATAAGCACCGAGCTCGTTTTACGGCGAGGCCGTCGCGTCTTCTAACAGCCCGACTCGCCGAACCATTGGCATCTGCCTGTACAGCGCGATACGCGGGTCTCGTAGGATCTGGCACGATTCGCCAGGGTCCGCTTAACCTAATGTTGTCAATATGTTAGTCTAGGAATTTTTGTTCGTGGCATAATGTCAATATTTGACATAAAATCAAGTTACAGTTTTCTCGTACACGTTCACTTCCATAACCAAGCATGTTTCACCCAGCTCCACTGAAGGAAAAGCCGGGTGGTACTGCACCAGGTGCGAAAAGGAAGTCAACACCTCCTTGTTTGAACGTGCCAGAAGGTTGAAAGCCGCGTCTAGGGCGATGGTAGTCATATACTAGCATGGTAAAGTGTGGTTGAGGGCTAGAACGAATTCTCCGCTCTTAGCAAGCTTGCAGCTGGAACGAAAATATGAAACGGGAGTATTCCGAAAAGTGATCCTGGGAACACGCTCTCAAGGTCGCGCGTGAGTCTGGTAAGAGGTTGCCTGGGAAGAGCCTCGTAGGAACACGCTCTTAACCACCTATCACCCTCAAGATCAAGCTGCTGTCGTTGTGCCGTGGCCTGAAACCCTGGTTTGGCGTTGTGCCGTGGCCTGAAACATTTCCCGTCAAAATTTGCGACACTGTAGCACGCGAGTCTGGGAAGAGGTTGTTTGGGAAGAGGCTGTTAGGAACAAGCTCTAAGACTCCTGGAGCGTAGTGAAACCAACCCAGCCGGAACTCTACCAATACGTGAAGTCCGATGCCTCCTTACAGTAGCTTAGCACGCATCCAGGTCACAACAGTGCGGCAGCTTGTTCTAATGGTAAGAGTGGTGGGCTTCCTTGGGGAGAACAGCACATCAAGCACATCAATCTTAGCTTTCAATATACCAGAAGAGAAAAGTTGGATGCATCCCTGGCTTAGCATGCGTCCAGGTCACGGCAGGGCGGCGGCTTGATCTCGCCAGTCAGGGTGGTGGGCCCACCCTCTGGAGCACAGCGAATGCGATTCGGGATCTGAGGTCCGGCCTGGGGAGGATGGAGAAGTGGAGGGAAAGGGATTGGCGAGGAAGGGTTGTCAGCGGAGGGTGCAAAAACGCCCACCTGATCTCACCAGTCAGGGTACTGAGCCCGCCCTCGGGAGCGCAGCGAATGTGATTCGGGATCTGAGGTCTGGCCTGGGGAGGATGGAGAGGGGAGACGAGGAAATACATTGTTTCCAGAAAGTGTAACAACAACTCCATCTTGATCTTGCCGGTCAGGGTGGTGGGCCCGGCCGCCTGACCACAGCCAATGCAGTTCGGACCTGAGGACCAGGCTGGGAAGGATGGAGGAATGGACGGGAGGGGTTGTCAGCGGAGGGTGCAAAAATGCCCACTGAACCTCGCCTGTCGGGGTGGTGGGCCCGCCTGCGTGAACACAGCCAATGCCGTTCAGGACCTGAGGACCGGCCTGGGAAATGGAGGGGAAGGAAGGGAGAGGAAGCATAATCATCAGTAGTGGTGAGCCCTCCCTTGTCCAACCCTCCCTCAATCAACCCTCCATCCATCAGCCCTCTTCCAATCAACCCTCCCTCAATAAATCCTCCCTCAGTCAGCTTTCTTCCAATCATCCCTCCCTCAATCAGCTCTCCCTCTGAGGCGACCCCTCTTGGTCCTTCAAACCTAACCCCTGAGAATTTATCCTGTGCCCACCTTAGGCTTCTCCCCTCGCCGGAGTGCCTATCGCCACAACAGACTTCCTGGTGAGGCCAGCCTGACCCTTGCTACTACCCCTCTTGACCGTAGCAGCATACCTTGGGCTTCTCCCCTCGCCGGAGTGCCTCCACTATCGCCACAACAGACTCTGGAGTGAGGTCTTCCTGGTATGCGCCACACGAGACAAGGAAATAAGAAGGGAGAAAAGCAGGAAGAGCAGCGAGGTGTGAGGGAGGGACGCATGTGAAAGCGCCAGAGGACGGCGGGTAAGTGAGACGCTGGTGACATTGAATGACAGGAGACAGGAATGACATTGAATGACAGGAGACAGGAATGACATTGAATGACAGGAGACAGGAATGACATTGAATGACAGGAGACAGGAATGACATTGAATGACAGGAGACAGGAATGACATTGAATGACAGGAGACAGGAATGACATTGAATGACAGGAGACAGGAATGACATTGAACTTCAGCGCCTCAGAATTAGGATGTGATGAACGAAGAACGAGAGCGGAAGAACTAGTCTTTTGCCAGACCGGACAAACATAGCAAAACACACGAGAGGTCGAGATGCTTAAAAACGAAGGCCCAAAGGTCGAAAAACGAGAATACTACTGGGACAAGGCAGGGGCTCAGAGAGATTGAGATGCACATAGTAGTATGTGCATCTCAATCTATGGGATGCTGGAAGCTAAGTTGGTCACTGACGTTTTTAGGGGCTGACGTAAGCGTAGAAAACGCGTTAATTTACGTTTACGTTTACTTACATTAAATTACGCATTATTCTACGGCGGGCAGCTGGAAAAAAACCGAAACGTTTTTTTTTTTAATCGAGAAAAAATCGAAAAATCGAAACAAATCGGGAAAATGGAGACACGATATTGGAAAGTGTTTTTATTTCTTGATTCATTTTATTTATTTATTTATTCATCGATCGAGCAAGAGGAAGGAGGATGGGGACAGGGAAGAGAAGAGAGAGGGTTAGGAAGTAAAACTACTTACGATGTTCTCGTGAGCTTTTATTATTGTTGAATCGGATACCCTTTAGAATTTTAACCTACATGAACAGTGAACTATTCTACACGAGGTACCTCCCTAACACCCATCATGGTTGCTCTTCGAGCAGCCCAAAAACGTTTCAGGCTGACCGTAAACGTAAGTCCAAAACCAGGCAAGCATTCCTAAACGTAAATGACTTACATAAAACTACGTAAACGTAAAACAACGTAAACGTCAGACCCAACTTAGGCTGGAAGCATTCACGTGTAAAACCCATCCCATGCATTGTTAGACATGAGCTAATGAGATGGCGACGCACATAGTAGTTGTAGGAGAACCCCTCGACTCCATTGCTGTAGTCAGCGACTGTGATCATTGGTGCGTTCACACAGCATCCCTGCATGGGGTGTTGACACCAAGAGTGCATGTGCACAGAGAATGGTTTGGGTACAGAGATAAGGAAGGGCTGTGAACCCCGTTGCTGTGGTCAGCGACTGTGATCATCGGCGCGTTCACACAGCAGCCCTGCACGGGGTGTGTGGAGAGACAGAACACACGGTTTAAACTCGCGTTGACGATACAGCAATTGCTGTAGTCAGCAACTGTGACCATGGCGCATCCACACAGCAGCTCTGCACAGGTTGTGGGCACCGAGAGATGAGGGGAGAGCGTGACACGTTCCATACCACACACGCTCGTTTCATCTCACCATCCAGTCGATTCATTGCACCATGCACGCGATTCGTCTCATCACACACACGCTTCATCTCACCATGCACCCGTGTGATCTCACCACACATGCATCTTTGTACCATGCGCAGTTTCATCTCATCATCCCATCCCCATTTTTAATCGCATCATGTACTCGTTTCATCCCAGCATCCCCTCGTTTCATCTGACCATGCACTCGTTTCATCTCAACTCCCCTCGTTTCATCTCAGCATCCCCTCGTTTCAACTCAGCACCCACTCGTTTCATCTGACCATGCACTCGTTTCATCTCTGCATCCCCTCGTTTCATCTCACCATGCACTCCATCTCGCCCACTGAAAAGAGCCCATCCTTTGTCAGCTCTGCAATGCAATGCAATGTAATGCCATGCCATCCAATGCAATGCCATGCCATCCAATGTAATGCCATGTCATCCAATGTAATGCCACACCACGCATGGTACAAAGACAACAGGAAAGAGAGAATGGGACATGTAGGATGGGCAGTCAAGCTTTAAATAAAAGGCCATGGCTAAACTCTGGCCATGGTCAAGATTTAACCCTAATATCTTTCAAATGAAAACAACAATGCACCAATCGCCACCAGCCTGCTCTCACTTCCTCTTGACCCTCATATCTGCGCGACGTCTCTGGCGCACACCAGCAGACATGGTACCGCCCCACCTGCTAGGTGTGCTATTCTAGGTTCTTACATCCCAGCCATGCCAACCCATGCCATGCCATGCCAACCCATGCCATCCCATGCCAATCCACGCCATCCCACCCATGCCATGACAACCCATGCCAACCCATGCCATGCCATGCCATGCCATGCCATGCCATGCCATCCCATGCCATACCATCTGCTGTAATGTAACGCTCACCGTTCCTCTTGACCCCCAGGTGCTTCAACAGAGTGTAATGCGGCTCTCACCGATCCAGCAGGGCGGCCTCAATGTCACTTGCGCCTCACAGCATGCACGTTTGAGTCGGCTCAAAAGACATCTGGTGTAATGCGGCTCTCACCGATCCAGCAGGGCGGCCTCGCAGCATGCACGGCGTCATGCCGCACCCCAGCAGGTGGTACCGCCTCCAATGCATAGTGTACTTGCGTGCCATGCCATGCCTGCTACTGCAATGTAACTCTCACCGTTCCTCTTGACCCCCAAATGCTTCAGCAGGGCGGCCTAAATGTCCCTCGCCCCCCGCAGCAGGCACGGCGTCGTGCCGCACACCAGCAGGTGGCACCGCCCCACCTAGGGGCATGCCATGCAGTGGCATGCACTGTAATGATCTGCCAGCAGCTCACCGTTCCTCTGGACCCCCAGGTGCTTCAACAGGGCGGCCTCAATGTCCCTCGCGCCTCTCAGCATGCACGGCGTCGTGCCGCACACCAGCAGGTGGTACTGCCCCACGGGCTGGCGGTTGAACATGGTGTAAAAGGTCGCCACCTCGTAGACGCGAATGTAAGGCATGCCCAGTAGGTCCGCCACCTGTAAGAAGACAAGGCCGGGTGAGGCGGAGAGGGGCACACCAGCAGGTGGTACCGCCCACCGGCTGCCTGTTGAACATGGTGTAAAAGGTCGCCACCTCGTAGACGCGAATGTAGGGCATGCCCAGTAGGTCCGCCACCTGTAAGAAGACAAGGCCGGGTGAGGCGGAGAGGGGCACACCAGCAGGTGGTACCGCCCACCGGCTGCCTGTTGAACATGGTGTAAAAGGTCGCCACCTCGTAGACGCGAATGTAGGGCATGCCCAGTAGGTCCGCCACCTGTAAGAAGACAAGGCCGGGTGAGGCGGAGAGGGGCACACCAGCAGGTGGTACCGCCCACCGGCTGCCTGTTGAACATGGTGTAAAAGGTCGCCACCTCGTAGACGCGAATGTAGGGCATGCCCAGTAGGTCCGCCACCTGTAAGAAGACAAGGCCGGGTGAGGAGGAGAGGGGCACACCAGCAGGTGGTACCGCCCACCGGCTGCCTGTTGAACATGGTGTAAAAGGTCGCCACCTCGTAGACGCGAATGTAGGGCACCTGGTGGCAGGGAGGGAGGGAGGATAAATGGGAGAGCAGAGCAGTTGAGGCGCCTAAAAGGCCCACCAGCAGGTGGTACTACCGCCCCACAGGCTGTCGGTTGAATAAGGTGCAAAAGACCGCCACCTCGTAGACGCGAATGTAGGGCATGCTGAGGAGCTGAGGAGATCCGCCACCTGGGGGAACCAGGGAGGGGAGACGCAGGCAGGGAGTGAGGCGCCACAGAAGCGCACCAGCAGGTGGTAGAACGCGAATGTAAAACGTTGCCACCTCGTAGACGCGAATGTAGGGCATGCCCAATAGGTCAACGAGGCCCAGTAGGTCGGCCACCTGACAAGAAGAAAGGCAGCGAGAGGGCAGGAGGGGAAAGAGATGGTGGCGCCCCACCGACTGCCAGTTGAACATGGTGCAAAAGGTCGCCACCTCGTAGACGCGAATGTAGGGCATGTGGAGCAGGTCTGCCACCTGGGAAACAGGGGAAGGGGCAAGGCGGAAGGGAGGGACGAAAGGCAGGCAGGCAGGCAGGGAGGGAGAGAGCAGCTGTTGAGGCGCCTCAAAAGCCTCCTCGCCTCAAAGGCACACCAACAGATGGTATCTCCAATGGCTGTCGGTTGAACATGGAGCAAAAGGTCGCCACCTCGTAGACGCGAATGTAGGGCATGCTGAGGAGATCCCCCCAGCGGATGGATGGTGGTGGCAGGCATGTTCACAGGCCGGGCCTTGGGCCGGCTCGGCCCGCTGTGCACAGGCCGGCCCGGCTTGGCCCGTAAGTACATGGCGGCTCGGCCTCGGGCTGGCCCGAGCCAAAGGGACACAACAGGTTGGTGTTGAGGCGCCTCAAAAGCACCACCCCAAAAGCACCACCCCAAAAGCACCACCCCAAAAGCACCACCCCAAAAGCACCACCTCAAACGCACCACCTCAAAAGCACCACCTCAAACGCACCACCTCAAAAGCACCACCTCAAAAGCACCACCTCAAAAGCACCACCTCAAAAGCACCACCCCAAAAGCACCACCCCAAAAGCACCACCCCAAAAGCACCACCCCAAAAGCACCACCCCAAAAGTACCACCCCAAAAGCATTACCATCTAGGGATGTTCAGCGGAGGGGCCAGGGTCGGGCCGGCCCAGCCCGTGGCCCGCGCGGCCTGACGTCGAGGTCGAGCTTGGGCTCGGGCTGGCAGGTCTCCACGTGGCTCGACCAGGGGGTCAGAATTTCGACCATATGTAAAAATATTCAGCCCAATTTCTCATTTCGCCGAGCCCTCATAACTCTCCTACCTAGGGCTCTCCTAAGCCCGATCCGCCAGCCTGCACTGCACCCTATTTCCGCAGATTTTCTAGTTGACTAGAAAATCATACCTTCTCTTACCTAGGTCTTTCCTAAGCTCGATCCGCTCCGCTGACCCTGACCCTATTTCCGCAGGTTTTTTTAGGAGCCCGAGTTTTAGACCAGGGACCTAATTTCCACCCGTTCAGCCATGATGAATCTAGTGCTGCAATGCACCTACCTTGTTCATGGCAGCAACAGTGAGCCAGCCCCCATTCTGCTGCTGCACGATCTCCAGGACGGGAATGACAGCCGACTGGCGGTAGTTGGCGGGGTAGTGGGAGATGATCTCGTTGGCCTGGGGCGGTGGGAGTGAGAGAGACAAACGAGCACAAGGGAGAATGGTGAGCAGATACGAGGGGATGAGCATGGGTGACCACCAAGGATGATAGCGGACTGGCGCTAGCTGGCGGGGTCGTGGGAAATGGTCTCATTCGCCTGGGGGAAGGGGTTGGGTGGAAAAGGAACAAAACCATGTGGTGGTATGACAAAGCGGATGAGTCGCACACGAGAAAATGGGTGGCAGCGGACTGCTGGTGGTTGGCGTGGCAGCGGGATATGATCTCGTTCGCCTGGGGTGGGGGTTGATTGAGAGAGGAACAAGTGGGACTGTAATGATTGGAGGTGTGATTCAAACTCCAGAAGGGGGATGACAGCGGACTGACGGTAGTTGGTGGGGTTGTGAGCTATGATGTCGTTGGCTTGGGAGGGATGACACACCTACTTTTAAGTGGCTTTACCTTCACCTTCTCGTGGGTGAGTGGGGAGAACTCGAAGGGCGTCTGGAGGTTGCTTATAGCCCCGTTATAACGTTCTTCTCAACGATATCGGACGATGAACAGGCATCAGCCAAAAATGCAACTGGCCTCACCTTCTCAAGCATGAGTGAGGAGAAGCCCAGGGGCGCGTCAGAGTTGACTTGTGGTTGAATCAACAACCACCCATTTCTAGCCAGTTAAACATCAGCCTACAAAGCAAGTGGCCTCACCTTCTGGAGGGTGAGTGGGGAGAACTCGAAGGGCGTCCGGAGGTTGTTGTCTGGAGAGTCACGATGCTGCAAGTGATAGAAGAGGGGGGGGAGGGGGAAGGGGGGAGAGAGGAGAGGAGGAGAAGAGAAGAGAAGTTAGGGTTGTTCTGTCACGAGTTGCAATGCTGCAAGTGATAGAAGGAGGGGGGAAAGGGGAGAGGGGGGGGGAGAGGAGGAGAAGAGAAGTTAGGGTAGTTATGTCATGACTTGCGATGCTGCAAGTGATAGAAGGAGGGGGGGATATGAGGAACATGCTCCAGATACATGCTCCAGATACATGCTCCAGATACATGCTCCAGACCAGATACACTGGAGATAAAGGGCTCAGAAACCGGGTTACCAAAAGGCACCGACTCACGATGTTAAGAGTTGTGGAGATGAGCCGCGAGGAGAGAGCTGCTTGCGCTGCTGGTAATACTGCTACCAGGACGCTGGAAAGCACAGAAACCGTGGGTGCATGTTCGCTGGAAAGCACAGAAACCGTGGGTGCATGTTCGCTGGAAAGCACAGAAACCGTGGGTGATTTTTGAGTCGACTCAAAAATCATCGCTGGAAAGCACAGAAACCGGGCCACCGAAAGGCATCGACTCACGACGTTGAGCGCCTTGGAGAAGAGGCGAGAGGAGACCGCTGCTAGCGCTGTCTCTGGTGAGGCAGTCGGCAGTGGCAAGGGTAGGGCCGTTGCCAACAGCATCTAATCAACTAGTTTACAAAGAAGCACCGACTCACGATGTTGAGGGCTGTGGAGAAGAGGCGAGAGGAGCCAGCTGCTAGCGCTGCAGGTGCTGCTGCCACAGGCGCAGCTGCTGTTGCTGGGAAGGCTGCTGCTGCCGCTGGCAGGGCTGCTGCTGGGACGCCCTGAGCATGGCGCTGCGGGGAAAAGGAAGGGGGAGGAGGGGGGGGAGGGGGGGAAGGGAGAGGGGGGGGAGGAGGGGGGAAGGAAAGAACTTATGTTCAGGAGAAAGGCGATTGGAAGAGGCAGGGTTGCTGCTGAGACGCCCGGACCATAGAGCTGCACAGAAAGGAGCAGGGAGGGTTGGAAAGCGGAAGGGGGCGGGCGGGCGAGGAAGAGGGGGGGGAGGGGAAAAGAGCACATTGATGAGTAAGCGGTGCGCTGGACACGATTGCTGATGCTACTGCGAAGGGGGGAGGTGGGGGAGGGGGCCTGCTTTTGAGTGGACTTTAAAGGGGAAACGAGCACGTTAAGGAAGGAGTGAGGAGAGCGCTGGACACGATTGCTGATGCTACTGCGAAGGGTGGAGCGGTAAGAAGCGGTTCGGGGGAAGAATGGGAAGAGCCGGGAGAGGGAGTGAGAGCATGCGTATAGGAGCGCAAGGGAGAGGGCGAGAAGGGGGACTTTTGAGTCGACTCAAACATCACTCAAAAATCACTCAAAAGCCACTCAATAGCCACCTGGGAAGAATGGGAGGAACGGGGAGAGGGAGAGCGTGTGCGTAGGAGCGAAAGAGAGAGGGCGAGCAAAAGGGAGAGAGACACGTGTGATCAAGCCGTTGCCCGGACCGTTCTATCCTCGCACTTGTGTGTCTCTAGCTAGCTTACGTGCTAGGGTGACTCGTAATAACCAGAGGGGTTCGGAGCGGTTGGGATCACACTGCCCTTTAGATCACCCTCATGATTCCGCGGTCGTACCAGGTACGTACATCTTACGGCGTACAACACCCGAAATCCCCCTGGCATCACATCATAATGGGTAGCTAATTCTGCAATTGTTCGAAGTCGCGACATACCCGGAACGATGTACCATGTCTCGAGACCAGCCCCTCTCCCCCCCCCGATCGCACCAGGTTCAAACATCTCCCGGCGATCGTACCATGTAGGTCGCACAGCGGCTGGCGGCCGTCGCCAGGGCCCTTGCGACGCGCGACGACTGCATGGCGACAGATGATGCGATGGCGGAGACGTGCTCAAAAGGAGCGGATCAAGAAGAGCGGATCACGGGATCTACGGCGTCGACGCGTCGACGCGTTGGTGAGAGGGGAATGGGTCGTCGGGATCGGTGGAATGGCGGACGGTTGATGCAAGACTGGCGAAGAGAGGTGGGGGATGGCGAGGATGGGCTGGGCTCGGTGTGAAGAGGGAATGGAGGAAATGGAGGAAATGGCGGAGACCCACCAACGCGCAACTGGAGCCTCGAACCTACTCCTCTCTCCGTGGCTAAGCAGGGAAAATATGATAGTCCAGCCTACTAGAAAACTTACCTCGGCCACGGCAGTCCCAAGGAGTCCAGTGTGACAAGGGAAGGGGGTCCTAGCGAAATGTGATTGGCTAACGAGTTGGAGGAGTCATCGAAACGCCGTATAGCGAGGTTTGGGATGGACGAGCTTTGTTCGTTGACTAGAAAGCAGTGTGGCGAAGAAAATCTGGTAACCAGTCTCAAAAGTAGTCCTCGTTGTACGCATTTTCATTCCGCCAAACCTTTTCCCCAAACCCTCTCTTCTCTCCAGCTTCCCCCTTCCCCCACCACACTCCGCCTATACCTCCCCCTTTTGTCCGGCCAAAGAGCCCCTGTCTTCCGCCTGATTTTCCATCCGCGATTTATTATCCTGTCCTGTTGTTCTTAGCTGGCTTCCAACCTAGATAGTCCTCCTCCCGACTGATCAACGCCCAGCGAGTCGACGATATCCAGGTAAGGCGGAAGAGAGTTTGATCCAGCGGAAAGGTGGAAAGGTGGTATGTTGCTTTGCGGAAAGGTGTGATGCTGCGGAGTCTGCGAGAGGATTCGAGGGGTTTGATCCATGGTGCCGCGGAATCCGGTGCTCCAGCTGAGATAGTGCGCGAGGTTGCGGTATCTGGTACTGTGCCCGAGCTAGCGCGCGAAGCGTCGTCTTTAAAGAAGGATCGCGGTCTACGAACGTAGCCCAAATGTGCCTCTACTCTTGTGCATATTTCCGCCTACCACGCCGGGGCCTTAAGCGGACCTCCTGTTCACGAAAGAGATTTCGCTAGGAGCGGAGCATCGTATTCTAGCCAACTCTTCTACGCGGAAATACAAGCATCGTAGAAGAGTTGGCGCGTAGAGAACGATTAGAGGCGGAGAGTGAAGGGGAGTGAGCGAAATTCTCGTTTTTTTCCTGGAGTGGCGAGATCTTTGTTTTGGACGCCTCAGAACGTGCCTGACGATGAGGCATCTCTCCCACCCGCTTTTCCCCACCACCCTCCACCTCCTAAATTCCCACCCTCCCCCCCTCCTCCGTCCGTCCGTCCCTCCGACCATCCGTTTCCCCTCCAGCCCAGCTGATCTGTCGCTGCTTCCCGTCGTAACATCTCCTCTACGCTCCGCTTCTCTCCGCACCCCTCTCAAATCCCCGTTTCTCCCGTCCCCCCCTCGTTCGCTGCTCATATCTCCTCCTCTGCTCCCCTGTCCTCTCCTCTCCCCTCGCTCCTCTCCTCTTTCTTCTCCTCTCCTCGTTTCTTAGCACTTCCTCCTATCTTTCTGATTCTCCCCTCTCCCATATACTTCTCCCGTCCCTGTGATAGCCCGGAGCGCAGTCAACCCTTCCCTTGACCTTGGGAACGGTTTTCGAGATCTGAGTTCAAATGCCTCTCTTCTCCATCCTTTACCCTTCTGCCACCAGGTTCCCAGGAGATCACAGCTTCCAACCAAACCCTCATAAGCTGCTCATCTTGCGAGTTCTGTTCTTCATCAACTTAAGCAAAAAACACCCCTCTTCCCCATCCTTCACCCCCCACCCTTCCGCCACCAGGTTCTCATCGGATCGCAGCTACCAACAAAACCCTCATAAGCTGCTACCAGCTCCGCTTCTTGCGAGGTCTTCCGTACTCCCTCCGAATCTGTGAGCTGCTCCGCGCTTCGGCGCGCCGTGAGACACACACCTCTGATACGTTTCGCTTCGTAAGTTCCTGTATTAGTTCGTCAGCATGTTTATGGGAGGACCCCCCCGCCGGCCAGAGAAGGCTGCTGCCTTGAAGCAGCTGAGGCAGCATCTGGCTGTTCTGGGGGTGTGGGTTGTGGCGATCAGGCTCACGCCCTATGTGCTTCATTTGTTCACCAAGGAAAAGGAGCAGCTTACCCTTGACTTGTAGATTTCCTCTTCCACAATTATGGTAGGTAGGACTAGCGAGTTGATGTGGATCTTTTTGCAAATGTGATTTGCCATGCAGATGGATGCCTAGAAAATCAGATGAAGGCCTAAAAGCACTCTTGAAATTCTGACGAAGACAGACCCTGTTTGCCAATGCCAATGATGTGAAAGACTCATTCAGTAGCTCCATCTGCAGTGGTTTGGAACCCGAAGTAGAAGCAGAAACACTCCAATAGTCAACAGAATTTATACCATATTGCATAAGGGCATATTGGCCAATTTTGCTAATACCTGCACTTGGAACCGCAGTCGCATTATATCGGAGAAAACGACAACAATTACAACGGTAACCTCGTCCACCCCTGGACCTCCCTGCCATGCCGTGTACTGTACTGCGTTTCATTTTACCGCAGTCGATTTCTCGTCTCTAGTCCTTCGCTTGAGCGATTTCGTTCGTGGACTGGCCGAGTGTGCGAAGCGGGAGAAGCAGTTGAGGGCAGAGCGGATCGGGGGAATTCGAAAGCAAGGTCTATGGAACTAGTTTGAAATGATAAGAAAACGGACGTCCTTCCCATCGAGCTGGTCCGACTGCAAGGTCTACTACCGAGGCGCCTTGAGCCAAGCAGGAGGGTCTAAGAGCGAGGTCTATCAGTAGTTAAACAGACTCTCGAGTCAATTCAATTGTGACCTAAGAACAAGGTCGGTCGCACGTGGGGTGCTTTTCGTTTCCGACTAGCAGGGGGACTGAGGGAACGAGGTAGAGCTAGGGTAAGAGTGAGGGAGAGAGATAGTGAAGGGAAACAGCCCAGGGTAGTGGTACGGAGATAGCGATGAACAGGGGGAGAGGAAGGGAGAGAGAGAGGGAGAGGGAGCGATTGAGAGAGACGGAGAAGGAGAGAGGGCGGGAGCGGGGAAAAGGGTGGGAGGGGAGAAGCGACGCGAACGGGGAGGGAGAGCGGAGGGCGCGCGAGGAGGGGAGGGGAGAGCGGGAGAAGCGGGAGTTGGGGGGAAGGAGGCAGTTAGATCGGGAGAAACGAGTGCGGGAGGAGGGTAGGGAGAGGGTTAGGGAAGTAGGGCGAGGAACCGAACGAGACAAAGACTGGGATAAAGATGGGGATAGGGATAAAGATCGAGATAGGGATAAAGATCGAGATGGGGATAGGGAGGTGGATAGGGGTAGAGTTAGAGACTTGGATAGGGGCGGGGATACGGATAGGGCCACCCGAGGCAAACGAGCAGGAGAGAAGGAGAGAGGTGGAGACGTACGGCGAGAGGGAGAGGTGGGGGAGAGGAACACGCGAGACAACGACACAGGCGTCCGGGAAATCAGGGACAGGGCGATTAAAAGCAGCGATAGGGACGCGCGAGGCAGCGATAGAGACAGGAATCTCGGAGTTGACGAGAAAAGTAGGCCTTTTTGCGACAGGAAATCTCGAGACAAGGAATTTGTAGGTGATGGTTCCCGAGAGGTGGCTCGGGATAGGCGGGAGAGGTGGAGAGAGAGAATGGGCAGCGTAAAGGACGATGAGGGGAGGGGGGGTCGGGGATGGGAGAGAGGGTCGAGCTTTTCTGAGGAAGGTTCAGAGGAAGGTTCCATGGACCGAAAACGAACGACGGAAAAGAGGAGGGAGGAAAGGAGAGAGGAGAGGCAGGGGGGGAGGAAGGAGGAGAGGAGGAAGGAGAGGGATGACGTGGAGAAAGAATACTCGGACGATGAGCCGAGGAGGGAGGAGAGGCGGGAGAGGAGGAAGGAGAGGAAGGGGAGGGATGACGTGGAGAGAGAAGGCTCTGACGATTCTCCTCCACGCAATAGGCGCGCCGATGCTACGGCTGCTACTGCTACTGGTGCTGGGTCTGGTGGAGCTAAAGATGGCCTGGATCGAAGTCCCAAGCGGACCAAAACGGGCTCCAAGGCTAACGGCTCAAAGGGAAGCGAGGCAGACGCCCCTGCCAACAGGAAGCCAGCCGCAGCCGCTTCAAGTGAATCCAAGGACCCGCCTGCTGCAGCGTCCGCGTTGCCTCCCGAGCTGGCAGCTATGGTCAAAGCACGGCTGGCTGCTGCCAAAGCAGGCACACTGTGCACCTCTGTCTCCTCCTCCTCCACTCCTCCCGCTTCCACTGCTGCCTCTTCCGCGCTCCTCCCCCCTCCACCATCTGTAGCTGCAAGTATGCAGGCAGCAGCGGCTGTAGCGGCTGCTGCTGCAGCTGCTGCTCGCATAGGGGCCAGCATTCAATCTGCAGGGGGCGGTAGTGTTGGTGCTGCTGGCGGTGGAATTACCAGTGGCGCTACAGCTGGGTTTTCTGGTGCTGCAGCAGCAGCTGCTGCTGCTGCCGCTGCTCGCATTGGGGCCAGCATTCAAGCTGCCGGTGCTGCTGGCGCTGGTATCTCTGGTACTGTCGCCTCTGGTGTTTCTGGTGTTATGGCTGCAACTGCCAGTGGTAGCATACTGGGCAGTATCGGTGCTGCTGGTGGGGTTGGTGTGGCTGCTGCTTTGAATCCTGCGGCTACTGCAGCGGCAGCAGCAGCTCAAGTGAATGCAATGGCTGCAGCAAAGAGAGCAGCAGCGATGGGTAAGTGAAGGGGGGAAGGCAGATAGACCGCTTTTTGCTGCTGCTGCTGCTGCTGCTGCTGCTGCTGCTGCTGCTGCTGCTGCTGCTGCTGCTGCTGCTGCTGCTGCTGCTGCTGCTGCTGCTGCTGCTGCTGCTGCTGCTGCTGCTGCTGCTGCTGCTGCTGCTGCTGCTGCTGCTGCTGCTGCTGCTGCTGCTGCTGCTGCTGCTGCTGCTGCTGCTGCTGCTGCTGCTGCTGCTGCTGCTGCTGCTGCTGCTGCTGCTGCTGCTGCTGCTGCTGCTGCTGCTGCTGCTGCTGACACGCGTGAGAGAGATTGAAGGGTCTGTCAGGCCGTGGTGCATGCCTCACATTCACTTTCGCCTGCAGCTCAACGTCTCGGAATGCGTACTTGCCCCGCGTACCTGCCCCTCGTACCTTCCCCGCGTACCTGCCCCTCGTACCTGCCCCTCGTACCTGCCCCTTGTCTCCCCTGCACCAGCGTACCTTCCCCTTGTCTCCGCATCCATTCTCTCCTCTCCAACCCCCACTCCTTCCCCCACCCACCCCCCCCTCCCTTCTCCCCCCCCTCCCCCCCATCCACCTCGCTCCCGTCTTCCCCTTTTCCCCCACCCCATTTAGTGAGCAGGAGCTCTGGAGGGCCAGCAGCAGCGCCACCATCTGCAGAGTGGAAGACGGAACCTGTGGCGTTTCCTTCCCGCCCCCCTCCCCTTCCTCCTCCCCTCTTCTCTCTCCTCCCAGTGAGCAGGAGCTCTGGAGGGCCAGCAGCAGCTGACACCATCTGCGGAGTCGAAGATGGCAGCTGAGGATAAACCTGTATCCTTCCCCGCCCCCCTTCCTCCCCCCCTCTCCTCTCACCGCCCAGTGAGCAAGAGCATTGGAGGGCCAGCAGCAGCGCCGCCTGGAAAGACGGGGTTGACAGCCGAGGAGAAGAGGAAGCTTCTGTGGGGCTCAAAGAAGGTCAGACGGGTTTGAGAGCGGTTGGGAGGGATGTGAGGTGTGAGGTGCTCGGTGTGGTTGAGAAGGACGGAGGGTACTGGATTGGCAAGACTGGCATGGCAGCAGAGGAGAAGAGGAAGCTACTGTGGGGCTTGAAGAAGGTGAGGTGGGGGCTTCAGAGGGTTTCAGTGCGATTTTGAGGGATGTGAGGTGTGAGGTGTGTGGTGTGGTTGAAAGGGGTTAAGAGGGTACTGGGTTGGCAAAGGCTGGCATGACACGAAGGGAGTTGAAGGAGCTGCTGTGGGGCTCGAAGAAGGTCAGATGCGGTTCAGAGAGGTGGAGATGGGTTGATTGGAGAGGGGTTGGGAGGGGTAAAAGGTGGTTGGAAGGGCTTTATCTACACAGCCTTGGGAGTTGTTCTTTAGTATCGGCAATGAGAGGGGCTAGTAAAAAATTGTTCGAGTTGTACCAAAGCTTAAGTTTTGATACTTTTGTTGTTGTAGGCTCAGAACCGAAAGTCTCGTTTCTCTAGGTGCATTCTAAACTCTTCCCCTCCTTCACTCTCCCAGACCGCGCACCGTGGTGGTGCCTTTCAAATTGACTCAAAAGAGCCATTCATATTTCTTTCTCTTCAGCAGTTTTTTAGCTCTCTACCCCCCTCATGCTCCCAGATCGTACATTCCATGTCACCCATTCCCCCATGCCCAACACCAGGACTCCACTGCTGCACCTGCTACGGCCCTGCTGCTGCCACATCTCCTTCTACTGCTGCTGCTGCTGTCGCTGCAGGCTCGACTGGTGAAGACGCAACTGCTGGTGCTAGAGGTGTCGCTCCTGCTGCCATTACAGCTGGTTTCTAACACTCTCTCCTCCCCTCATGCTCCCAGACCACACCCTCATGTCACCCATTCCCCCATGCCCAACACCAGGACTCCACTGCAGCACCTGCTATGGGCCCTGCTGCTGCCACAGCTCCTTCTACTGCTGCTGCTGCCACTGCAGGCTCGACTGGTGAAGGCGCAACTGCTGGTGCTAGAGGTGTCGCTCCTGCAGCCGTTACAGCTGGTTTCTAACACTCTCTCCTCCCCTCATGCTCCCAGATCGCACCCTCCCTGTCACTCATTTCCCCATGCCCAACACCAGGACTCCACTGCTGCACCTGCTGCAGCCCCTGCTGCTGCCACAGCTCCGGCTACCGTTACCTCTGCTGATGCCGCTGCAGGGTCGACTGGTGAAGGTGCAACTGCTGGTGCTGGAGGTGCGGGTGGTGCTGCGGGTGGTGTGGGCGGGATGGGCAGCAGCAGCAGCAAGGGGTGGGAGAACGTGCATTTTGGTGACCGCAGCCGAGAACAGAAGTTTCAAAAGCTCATGGTAATGCTTCATCTGGCCTTTTTTTTTTTTTTTTTTTTTTTTTTTTTTTTTTTTTTCGCGGTGAGATGTTGTGCTCTGGCCGAAGGGAGTGAAGCCAGTCTCTCACAGCAGCAGCCGCAGGTAGAGCAAGTTTTGCGACGTCTCAAGTCCTGTTTCCTTTTTGAGAATTCTCAAACAACAAGTTTTGAGACGTCTCAAGACCTGTTTCCCGCTATGTGTGTTTATCGTCGATTGTGTCGATTGTGTCGATTGTGCAGGGAGTGAAGGGAGTGAAGCCGGCACCTGCCATGGCAGCAGCCGCAGATAGAGCAGCAGCGGCAGTGGTGGGGGTGGTGATGAGTGAGGAGAAGCAGAGGGAGCTGCAGGAGGAGCTGGAGCGGCAGTATGTGGCTGGGCTCAGGCGCAAAGACGGGCGGACGGTTGGCCTTGGGCTTTAAGGGTAAGACTCATTACAGCAAGACACAGTGTGAGCTAGGAGCAGAGTTGGAGCGGCAGTACGTGGCTGGGCTCACGCAAGGATGGGCGGACGGTCAGGCTTGGGCTGTAGGGGTGCTGCTTTGAGGTGCATAGGTGATGTCTGAGGCGTCGCAGAGGGAGCTTCAGGAGGTGCTGGAGAGGCAGTACGTGGCTGGGCTCAGGCGCAAAGACGGGCGGACTGTGGGACTTGGGCTGTAAGAGGTGGTGTTGGTTTGGAGTACATCAATTAAGAGAGGCAGAGGGAGCTGCAGGAGCAGTTGGAGCGGCAGTACGTGGCTGGGCTCAGGCGCAAAGACGGGCGGACTGTGGGACTTGGACTGTAGGGAGTAGTATCTTGACTCAAGGCAGCAGGGGGGAGGGGACAAAGAGCAGCAGCAGCAGCGGTGGGAGCAGGGGGAGAGAGCAGCAGCTGCAGCAGCAGTGGGAGCAGGAGGAGAGAGTAGCAGCAGCGCCGGTGGCGGTGGTGGGGGTGGTGATGTCTGAAGGGTGGCAGAGCGAGCAGCTGCAGGAGGAGTTGGAGCGGCAGTACGTGGCTGGGCTTGGGCGCAAGGATGGGAGGACAGTGGGTCTGGGGCTTTAATCACATGTGCAGTGGCGTCTGGGCTTCAAGGGTGGGGATGGGCCTTAGGGTTTAAGGTTTACAGGGAGCAGCACCAAAGGAAGGAAGTGATTGAGAGGCCGGGGTGAGGTACAGAAGCCAGAGCGGCAGTGCAGTATGTTCGTGGTGTCGAGAGACCCGCTGGGGTTGCCCTTGAGAAGATCCTAGGGGAAGGGCCACAGGCCTCTATGCATGGGGGTTTGTGGGCGCACTAACCCGCTACGTAACACACTCTTTTAACTCAGTGGTTAGTGACTGAGTTCGGACATGGTATCAGGGCGTGGGTGACTCGGTTTCAGTTCCCAGTGCCAGCACTGCCGAGGCTCTGGTGTCCTCCGCCTATCCCAGCAAGGGGGGGTGTCAAGAGACCCGCTGGGGTTGCCCTTGAGAAGATCCTCGGGCAAGGGCCACAGGCCTCTATGCATGAGGGGTTGTGGGCGCACTAACCCACTACGTAACACGCCCTTTTAACTCGGTGGTTAGTGACTGAGTTTTGACACGTGGCTGGCTGGGCTCTGCACTCGGCTGCACTGTGGGACTTGGGCTTAAAATCTTGGAGGATGCGGTTTGATTTGTGGTGTCCTGTAACCGTGTAGCCTACTGACACTAGGATTTCACAGTCGTACTACAGTTGTGTTGTCCACTGGCCTTCTATCGTCTTCACGCATATGCTTTCCTGCTCTCCTGTTCCCAAAGATTTGGTTGCGATGAAGGCACGAAGGCACGAAGGGATGAAGGCACGAAGGCACAAAGGGATGAAGGCACGAATGTTGGAAATATCTCAAAGGACTTAAGCGTTTCTGAAGTGTAACACTGCACTCGAGGAAGATCGCAACGGGTACGCGAGTCAACGGAGGTTACACGAGGGGATGGACAAAGAACGCGAAGGGACTCGAAGGGTCGCAACTGGAGGTTGCGACTGACCGTTACAACAGCGTGGATGGTAACCGAAGCGACAATCGAGTCGCTGTGTGTTATGAATGAACAAGCAGAGTAGCGCGGAAATGAATAACGAAGTGTTCACTCAATGAATGACGATACAAGGAATGGCAAGCCAAGATATAGGAACACCAGAGCTAGTCTAACCATGCGATGGGAAGGTTCGGGAAGGAGATCGAAGGGTCTCGAAGTGACGAAGCGAGGCCTGGAGAACTCCCGAAGGTCGAACCGGAAAGTCTGGAAAAGCCGAGGCGGTTCTGTCAGAAGGTCTGGAACAGTCCCGAGGCTTCAGGTGTGTTCGAGCGTACGCGATAGCAGTACCGCTCGGTAAGGAATGGAAAATTCCTTACACCACCCCCCCCCTTAGCGAAGGTGATCTATATCAGCCACGTGCTTGCGGTCCAAATAATTCGCAAGTATCGAAGATGACTGTATCTGGTCCGAGGGCACCCACGTGTCGTCCTCACTGGTACGATTGGTCCATCGTATCAGAAAGTCAACGTGTCGTCCTTGACCGTTGATACGAATCCGATGGCTCAAGATCTTCGAGGGCTCGATGGTCGTTTCGGCTGGTGGCCGTACATCTGGAACCAATCGCTGTCGAGCGATGTCCGACGTGTCAGGAACGAAGGGTCGCAACAGACTCACGTGGAATTTGTTGTGAATTCGCCAGCCATCAGGTAGGCGTAACTGGGCGGTCACCGGCGTCACCATCTTCACGATCTTGAATGGGCCACAGAATCGTGGTCGCAATTTTGTCGGTAGTGGCAGTCGTAAATTCTTGGTGTCCAAAAGGACTAGTTGCCCCGCTGTCATCGTAATATCCCGGCGATGTAAATCCGTATACCGTCGGGCAGTTGCGTTCGCCTTGCGAATAAGTTCGACAGCTTTGTCTCGGGCGGTCTGTAGTTCTTCGACGAACTGTTGCGATCGTGGTACTTGACTCTCAACATTGGTGGAGATCGGCACTGTAGGGTCCATCCCGTAATTGAGGTAAAACGGGGAGTGATTAGTCGTAGATGAGGGCGCGTTGTTGTAGGAAAATTCCAACACGGGCAGCACGTCCTCCCATTTTTTCCGGTCGGGGCAGTTTGTCCGAATCAGCTGCTCCATCGTTTGATTTGTCCTTTCCGTCTAGCCGTCCGTTTGTGGATGATACGCGGATGAGAACTGTAGACGAGTGCCGTACCGAGCCCACGTGTCCTGCCAGAATTTGGACGTGAACTTCGGATCTCGATCGCTAATGATTGCTGCTGGTATCCCGTGTAGGCGAACGACGGTCGAGATGAACAGGCGCGCTGTTTCTTCGGCTGTGATGGTTGTACGACATGGTGCGAAATGCGCCATTTTCGTCAATCGGTCGACGACAACCAACACTGCGTCGTTTCCGCTGGGTCCAGCCGGTAGTCCCGTAATGAAATCCATCGTTACGTGTTGCCATGGGCGTTGAGGTGGCTCGAGGGGCTGCAACAGTCCTGTGGGCCGCTGGTGTGACGACTTCATTCGCTGGCAGATCGGACACGCGGCCACGTAACGCTGCACGTCCGTCACCATATCTGGCCAGTAATAAAACCGCTGCAACGCCTTCAGAGTTTTATCAACCCCGAAATGTCCCGATAAATTCGAATCGTGGACTTCTTGAATTAGTAATTCGCGAAGTAAACGATAACTTGGGACCCAAATTCGATCAGTCCCGCTTCGTAAGTAATAGACGCCTTTCCGCGTAGTGATTGGGAGATGGCCGTCGTTTACGAAGAAGGGGTCAGTCGAATACCCGTGGGTAAATAGTCCACTCAGTAGCGGGTTGCTCTGGGCGACTAGTACTGCTGCGAGTTGGGCAGATGGTCTGGAAAGGGCGTCGGCAATATTGTTGGCGCCCTTTTTGTACGTGATCTTGTACATGAAATTTGACTCCAGATAGTCCAGCCAGCGTATCTGCCGCGGGTTGAGATTCGGCTGCGCCCTCAGGTACTGTAGTGATTTGTGATCGGTTCGCACCGTCACGTCTGCTCCAGTCAGGTAGCACCTCCAGATTTTGAACGCGTGGACGATCGCCAGCATCTCCTTGTCGTGTACTGGGTAGTTGCGCTCAGCAGATTGCATTTTCCGAGACTCGTACGCGATTGGTTGAAGCCCGTTGCCGAAATCCTGCATGAGCACTGCTCCGATGGCGATGTCACTTGCGTCGGTGATGACTTCGAAGGGCCGTTCCGGGTCAGCGATGCGAAGTACCGATGGAGACATAAAAGTTTTTTTAATGCCTCGAATGCAGCTTGCTGCTTCTCCCCCCACTCGTAAAAAGTCCCCTTCTGCAGTAGGTCGGTTAGAGGTCCAGTTAACTCCGCCATGTTGGGTATAAACCTTCGCACATAATTGACGAAACCCAAAAATGATTGCAGCTGCTGCAGATTTGTCGGCGGTTTCCACTCCTGAATAGCCCGGAGTTTTTTCGGGTCTATTCGAATCCCTTCCGTGGAGATCACGTGTCCCAGGAACTCCAGTTCTTGTTTTAAAAACTCGCACTTGGAGCCCTTGGTGATGAGACGATGCTGCTGCAACCGCTGAAAAACTGCTTCCAAATCTTTTAAATGCTGCTCCCGGGTCTTGCTGTAGATCAGGATGTCGTCCAGGTAAATTATTACGCATTTGTCGAGTAGATCGCGGAATACCCCATTCATGGTGAGTTGAAATGTTGAGGGGGCGTTCGTTAATCCAAACGGCATCACCGTGTATTCGTAACTCCCGTAGCGAGTACGAAACGCGGTCTTGTGGCAGTCGTCAGCGAACACTCGAATTTGATGGTAACCACCACGAAGGTCGATCTTCGAAAAGTAGCGAGCTCCGCGAAGGTTGTCGATCAATTCGTCCGTTCGTGGGATTGGGTAGCGCGATTTTATCGTTACCCGATTAAGGGCACGATAATCCGTACACATGCGAAGTCCACCGTCCTTTTTTGGTGTGAACAGGATCGGTGCTGCGAACGGGGACGTGCTCGGCCGAATGAACCCTTTCGCCAGCAGGTAGTCCAACTGGTTTCGTAACTCCTGTAGCTCCGGCTGAGTCAGGCGCCATTGCGTGCGTACAGTAGGCTGCGCGCCGGGCTCCAGCTCGATTTTGTGGTCCTGGGGTCGTTCGGGTGGTAGTCCACGTGGCAAGTCGTCCGGGAAGATCTCAGGATATTCTCGAATGATTTTCGCCAAGTCGCCCGGGACCGAATCGCAGAGTTTGTTGATGTCGGTCGCCTCATTCTGCTCCGTCGATTCGGTTAAATGGACGGCGTATAAATCCGCTCCATTCTTGACCGCTCGGTTGAGGCACACTGCGTTGACTCGTGTCGATGTCGTCTCTGCTTCCGGCCACGTGGGTAATTTTCGCCAACCCTTGTCGCACTTCACTGTGCACTCGCCTGTTGTCCAATCGATCTGCGGGTTGAATCTTCGCAGCCAATCGCGTCCCAAGAGCACGTCGTAGCCGTCGAGCGTTGTCGCCAGCTTCAGCGCGCTAAAACCAAAATCTTCGCCACACTTCATTCGAACGGCAGGTACTTTGTCGCGTATCGCCAGCGGGGTGCCGTCCACCAATCGCGCGTCGATTTCGGGTAGACACCGCTCCAGCGTTAGGTGTAGTCGTCGTGCTGTCTCTCGATTTATCAGGCTGTGACTCGCACCTCCGTCGATGAATATTTTTATTTTTCTTCCATGAAGTCGTCCTTCCGCCAGTACAGGTGGTCCACTGGGTCATCCTCCCTTTTCAGCCGGGAGCGGTTGATAGCATGTATCGGAACCACTACTCGGTGGGGATGTTGTTTTTCGGGCGATGAGGCAGGGTCAGTAGGGGGCCCGACCGCTACTGACGCTTGGCGTTTCCCGACCTGTCCTCGTCGTTCTTCTTTATCTGCTTCTTTCGGGGGCAATCGTGAGATAGGTGACCCGGCTGGTGGCAGTTGAAACATTGTCCCTTGCGAAAATCGTCCATGTGCTCCTTCGCCACCACGCCGTGAATCGTGGGCCGTGGATTCTGGCCACGAAAACGATTTCCCTCCCGGGAACCCGCTCTCGCATACGTCCGATGTGCGTCAAAGTTGTCTGCGATCCGAACGGCTTCGTGAAACGTCGCCGGCAGTCGCAGTCGGACCTCGCATTTAATGTCCTGCTTCAAACCCAAAATGAATCGAGCTTTCTTCTCGGAGTCATGCATGTCAGTGATTTGATCGCATAACGCCATGAAGACCGACGCGTAATCCTGGACAGAACTCCACTGGCGCCAGTTGTCCAGCTTCGTACGTGCGTTGTCCGAGGCGGATATGGGCTCGAAACGTTCACGCAGAGCTGTACCCCACGCCTTCCACGTGCGAATCTTGGTCGATCCGAAAATCGCGGTTGACCCTTGGGCAGCAGACCCAAAGTTTCCAAAAAACCCCTGTGTGTCGCCTGCCGAAAACTCCCCCTCCTGTAGAGTATATCGCCACCAATCTAGCGCAGGTCCCCGCAGTAGTGATATAGCCAATCGAATTTTTAACTCGTCAGCAGTGATCCCAGCGGCATTAAAATAAAGTTCCGCCGAAAATAACCACCCCGTAACAGTGGTATTCTTATCTGTGGGGTTGAACGGGGGCGGCATTGTCGGTTTGATCGTCGCTGTCGTCACGATCGGCATAAACGCCGGTGCGGCTACAGTAGCGGCGGCTTCTGACCGAGCGGCTGCTGCTGTCGCTGCTGCTGCTGCTGCTTCGGCTGCTGCCCGTGCTGCCACGTCAGCTGCTGCGGCGGCTTCACTGTCCTTGCGCTCCTGTGACACCTGACGTGCGATTTTGTCCAAGACGGTTTCGACACGTCCGGTGCTGGCGACCTCCTCTTGGGCGGCAATTTTCTGACGCGAATCCTCTCGCGCCTGGCGTAACTCAGCAACTTCCGCACGAAGTCGCTCGTTGTCCTCCAGCACTGTAGCCATGCGTGTGTTCATGGCGTTGAACTGCTCCCGAAGCTCGTTGAACTGAGCTTGGTCCATTTGGCGAATGCTCCGCCGGGGCAGGGGGAATTCCGTCGTGTGCCTGTACTCAGGTAAGCGCAAACGCTATCGTAGTTGGGCGAATTAATCAATCTAATTCGCGAGCAACCACTTTGCAGCTTACGTGAGGGACTTACCCCCCCCCCAAAAAAATCAACTCACGAAAACGGGTGAGCGAGGAAAGTGGCTCTGAATACCAGGTGTTATGAATGAACAAGCAGAGTAGCGCGGAAATGAATAACGAAGTGTTCACTCAATGAATGACGATACAAGGAATGGCAAGCCAAGATATAGGAACACCAGAGCTAGTCTAACCATGCGATGGGAAGGTTCGGGAAGGAGATCGAAGGGTCTCGAAGTGACGAAGCGAGGCCTGGAGAACTCCCGAAGGTCGAACCGGAAGGTCTGGAAAAGCCGAGGCGGTTCTGTCAGAAGGTCTGGAACAGTCCCGAGGCTTCAGGTGTGTTCGAGCGTACGCGATAGCAGTACCGCTCGGTAAGGAATGGAAAATTCCTTACACTGTGCGATTCGATAACCGCTCATGCAACTGTATTCTACAACTGCTTTACTTTCCTATTTTCTATATATTGTTGTATGCTTGTTTCTTTAATCAATCACTTGTTCTCATATACTAGTACAAGGGTTCAACTACTCAACTTCCGCTGCATTACTCAAGTCTTTTACAACTGGGACTTAGTCTCTGGAAAGATCCCAAGGGCTTTTCTCAGCCCAACATGGTATGAGAGCTGGTCAGAGACCAAACTCCCAGCAACTACGCTCTATCTACAATCTGCAATTCAACGACTTCATTGATTACAAGTCATGGACAGCAAGGGCAAGAAAACCTCTACAGGCTCACCCAGTGCCCAAGACACTCAACCCGGCAACTCTGGATTGCACACTTCAGGACTGCAAACCGAGACCGGCGCTGCTCAAGAAACAACAGGAAGAGCACCGGAAATGGTGACCCCATCACCCTCTTCAAGCGTGGATCCGAACCTTATGGAAAGGTTCTTCAGCTTCATGTCGCACTTCGACCAGCAGCAGTAGACAAGGACACCTGCGCATTCAACACAGAGCAACGGAGGAAACATGGGATTAGTGTTGATGAGTTTTGACAACTCATCGTTCGGGCGACACAATCAAGCGCCTACCTTTGCGCCTTATCACTCTTCACCGGGGACATTCGAGTTCATGCCGCCCCGTGCCCAACCAACAGCAGCTGCATCACAACAGACACCAAACGAGATTTTGAGTCTCCAGGCGCAGTTTTCACACGTAATCAAGTTACAGACATCCTCACCATTCAACGGATACGATTTCTTTACCTGGAGCTTTGAGTTCGAGCTGCTGATGGAGGCTGCGCACCTCTTGGGATACTTCAACGGGTCCCTGCCATTTCCAAGCAACGGCACTGCAAAGGAGCAAGAAATTTTTACTTATCAATCGCTGCTGGCATACACAGTTCTCTTGCGGAACCTGTCACCACAAGAACAGCAGAGCATCAGAACGTATCGGAGCTATGGAAACTCCGCGGAACTCGCATGGCATCATCTCAAGTGTCTCTATCAAGCAAACGACAGCGTGCCACAAAGCAGACTCATGCAACAGCTGACAACAATCCAGATGAAGACCGGGGAAAAAACGATGCAGTATATGAGTCGATGCCAGACCCTCCGCGACCGCCTGCTTCGGTGCGGAGGAACAATCACTGAAGAAAGCTTCGTGACGCTTGTCCTCGCAGGGCTCGGGCCAGAATGGAGAACCACACGCTCGCTTCTTCGCGCCCACGGAAGAATCTTGGAGATGCACCTCTGTGCCGGACTTCATGCTGAACAACACGCGATCAAGCCTTCGACGCCTTCACGACATGGCTCCCCATCGCCGAACGAGAATCAGGAACCAAGCTCAAAAGCTTCCAGTCAGACGGTGCACTGGAATACCAGTCACAATGCTTCAGGACCCATCTTGCGGAAAGAGGAATCAGACGCCTGGTGTCTCTGCCCTACGCTCACCAGCAGCAGGGGGTCGCAGAACGCATGAACCGGACCTTGCAGACGACGATGCGAAAGCTGCTCCTGGGAATGAGACTGCCCACCACACTGTGGCCAGACGCGATGACACATGCAGTCCACCTGCACAATCTGTTGTCCTCGTCATCGCTTCCCAACAACGCATCACCGCACCTGCTGTGGACACGAAAAAGGGGCAGCACAAAATTTCTTCGAGTTTTCGGCTGCATGGTACAGTACAGACCCCACACAGCCCGAGCAGGACGCTTCACTCAACGAGCTCGATGGGGACTACACCTCGGCATCGCAAAACATTTTCACGCATGGAAAATCCTCGACATACAAGACAAAAATACAGTAGCATCACGTGATGTTATCTTCTACGAGCAACTGACGCTGCAGCATTACCTGGACAACATTGCCAATACACACGACCCCACCGACGGCCTCGCGTGCCTTCGTTCCTTCGCCGACCGTGCTGCCGAGGCTGACGCAGCAGAAGAAGACGTACCTGGAGCCTCGGAAGCTGCCCGACCACTCCCTTTCTGTTCCGTACCTGTTCCACTCGACGAAGACAATCCCCTCGATAGCAACAACCTCGACACCTTTTACCACTTCGCTGACCAAGGTTACGTTACACCCCACCCCGTCAACACGAATGTTTCAGAACGCATTGGCCCCAACTTCTTACCTGATCCAGAAGAAGGTGACGAAGCAGCTTATTCCGGGAATGAAAATTCCCCTCGACACACACCCACGGGACTGCAGATCCTCGGCCTATGGGTCTCCGTCCAGCACCCGCCGCCGCCATCTCCGCGCGAGCCCTCGACTCTGTCGCAGGATCTGGGGGGGGAACATAAGGCGAAATGGAAGGAGGCGATGGAAAAGGAACTAAAAGCTCTTCAAGACCGAAACACATAGAAGTTGGTACCTACAACGACAATCAACGGGAAGAACGTCCTCTCGGGAAAGTGGGTGTACCGCATCAAGACCAACGCGGACGGCTCCATCGAACGATTCAAAACTCGATGGGCCGTACGAGGCTTTGATCAACGATACGGAACCGACTACACAGAAACCTTTGCCCCAGTCTCCCGTCACACCTCCCTGCGCATCCTACTCGCCGTCGCGGCCACGAAGAAACTACCACTGCGCCAAATCGATGTCGCAAATGCTTTCCTGTACGCACCTGTGGACGCCGAGATCTTCGTCGAGCAGCCCCACGGATTCATCGACGACCCTACAAAAGTATGCCAGCTGATAAAATCCCTCTACGGGATCAAACAAGCCCCGCGGCTCTGGCAGCAGCATCTTCACGGTCGCCTCGCAAAAATAGGATTCCTACAGCTGCCGCATGACCAAGGCATGTACCGACTGCAAAAGGGAAGAGAGTATATCCTACTCATCGTCTACGTCGACGACCTGCTCTACATCGGTTCCACTACCGACATCGCCACCTGGTTCGAAGGGGAGCTGAAAGAGGACTTGACACTCACGGTGTCCGACGCAGTGACCCAGTACCTGGGACTGAATGTCGTCGAAGACAACTCGGCGTTCTACCTACACGCTGGAAAGTACGCAGGCACTGTCGCGAAGAAATTCGGTCTAACGCCGACTACGGTCCCGACTCCCTACCGCTACGGGAACAACAACAGCACCTCCGCAAAACTCCCCGCGAAGCAAATCCAGGAGTATCAGCAGAAGCTCGGCTGTCTACTATTCACAGCAGTAACCTGCCGACCCGATCTCTCTTATAGCGCGAGCCAACTGGCGACGCATCTGAAGGAGCCGGAACAAGAAGATCTCGAGGATCTTAATCGGGCACTACTCTACTTCGTCTCCACGCCGACGACCAGGCTTACCTACAGCAAGGTAACGACACCGTCCGTACGACTACTCGGATACGTCGACGTCGACCACGCGGGAGACAAGGAAACTCGACGATCGAGAACAGGCTACATCTACCGACTACAACCTATCGGGACTATCTCCTGGCAGTCGAGCAAGCAGGAACTAATCGCACTATCTTCGGCTGAAGCAGAATATATCGCCCTCTGTACTGCGACCAAGGACTCTACCTACGAGAGTTGCTAGAGGAAGCGAAGATTACGACCCTGCCCGTCTTCTCACTCCTCTGCGACAACCAATCTGCGATCAAAATCGTGAACAAGGACGGCTTCGCCAACCGAACCAAACACATTGCCCTGCGGTACTTCTTCGTCAAGGATGAAATCGTGAAGGGGAGACTTCTACTCAGTTACTGCCCTACGACAGAAATGGCCGCAGACTATCTGACGAAGAAATTGGCGAAGGCAAAATTCGATTACTGCACGCTGCTGACCGGGCAGACAAACGTCACCGGATCTGAAAACGTCAGCACTCCAGAAATGAAGGGGAGTGTTGGAAATACCGTATCTCAAAGGACTTCAGCGTTTCTGAAGTGTAACACTGCACTCGAGGAAGATCGCAACGGGTACGCGAGTCAACGGAGGCTACACGAGGGGATGGACAAAGAACGCGACTGGAGGTTGCGACTGGAGGTTGCGACTGACCGTTACAACAGCGCGGATGGTAACCGAAGCGACAATCGAGTCGCTGTGCGACTCGATAACCGCTCCTGCAACTGTATTCTACAACTGCTTTACTTTCCTATTTTCTATATATTGCTGTATGCTTGTTTCTTTAATCAATCACTTGTTCTCATATACTAGTACAAGGGTTCAACTGCTCAACTTCCGCTGCATTACTCAAGTCTTTTACAACTGGGACTTAGTCTCTGGAAAGATCCCAAGGGCTTTTCTCAGCCCAACAACGAAGGCACAAAGGCACAAAGGGATGAAGGCTATGATCTGGTTTCTTCATTGCAGGCAAGTTTCTTGATCTACGGTACAACAGGGTATGCATTACAGACAAAGAACTCCTAAACATTGGCACTAGCAAAAGAACTGTGCAGTGCAGTAGGTACCCACAATAGAACATGAACACTCCATTTGTTATTGTTGGTCCTCATGCACATCTTATTCAAGCTACCTTGCGCAAAAGGCAGCACAGCCCAAGTACACGACAGCAATTGATACTAAGATAGCTCTCTAAACATGCAGTCTTTCTCTCGCAACACAAGCCGAGTGTGGATATCTAGCCAGATCAGTTCTGCCCTTAGCCTCTGCTTCCTCCCTCCTTGCCCTCCCTCCTTGCCCTCCCACCCTCCCATCTTCACTCTCATCTCCGCATGCAGCAGAGGAAAGGAAGCAGCAGCAGGAAGGCCCCCGACATGACCATCATCTTCATCCACGCCTTGAGCCACAAGCCCAGCAGAGCAGACAGCAGCGGTCCAGAGGCATACCCTGCGGTATAAGCCAGGTTGAACATACCCACCGCTAGAGCCACGTCAGATGAGCCTTCCCCAGCTGCAGCCCGTTTATCCAGAGCCTGGATTATACAGGGCAGGCTGGGGAACTCCACTAACGAGTATGCCACCCCTGTGAGGGCCATTAACGGGTATAAAACGTGCAGCTTGCAGGAAACACCCGGGATGACTAGTAAAGGGAGGGCAGTGGCAATAGTGGCGGCACCGAGCGTGATTGTAACGGGGGGACCGAGTTTCCGGATCAGCCAGCCGCCGAAGAGAAGGGAAAAAAGTGCGTAAGCAGCGCCGTTGATTCCCATGGAAAGGCCGATCTCGGAGGGGGTGCGATCGCAGGTGTTATCTAGGAAGAAAGAGACGGTGACTTCTAGGAGGCCGGTGGAGAGCGTTTGGAGGAAGGTGAGGGCGAGCATGGTTGCTGACGTGCTGTCTGTGAGCATGGTGGCGAAGAGACGGAGCGCTGTCAGCCGTTGATTCGGGTGGTGAGGGTGGGGCTTGCTGTGATGGACGGCTGGGACTTTCTGGTTTGGGTGGCTCTGTTTCTGTTTCTGTTTCTGGTGGTGCTGTAGCTGTTGCTCCTGCCAGGCTTGAGCTTTTGCTGAGGGCACAATTAGCTGCTGCTGGGGCTGCTGCTGCTGCTGCTGCTGCTGATTACTCTGCTCTATCTGCTGCTGTAATTGCCCCTCTAAACTGATTGCCACATGCCTCCCCCCCGCTGCCTCCCCGCTAACCTCCCCTCCCCCCCCGCCCTGCCCCCTCTCCGCGGATCGCAGGGGGGAAAGGGGCACTTCCCCGGCTGCTGAGCTGGACGGCGACCGTGCTGACGTGGAGCGCGTGAGCGACGTGGAGCGATTCAGAGGCGCGCCTCGAGAAGGGATGGCGAAGATGGGCGCGCCTCGGTACACGACGGGCCGCTCTTGCTCCGACACCTGGAGCTGCCACGTGGGCAAGCTGTCAGTGATAGGCGCCGACGCTCCTGTTGCCGTCCCCCCCGCTACGGTACCATCTGGAGCTGAACTTTCCACGTCCACCACCTTGGTACGGCGCCGGCCGCCGCAGCAGCAGGGAAGGATGATAAGGAGGAGGAAGAGAAGAAATAAGTCGATACCGAGAGAGAAGAGAAACGGGAGGGACGGCGACCCGAACTGGAAAAGGAATGTCATTGTAACGGGGCCGGCTACCGACCCCACCGCCGCCCATGCGAACAGCATCGCGACCGCGCCGAAAAGCAGCTCCCTTCCACCCAGCGCCGCGGCTGCGGTCTTAGGCGCTTCTGCGGCTGCTTTACCAGGCGCTTCGGCAGCGGCGGTTTCGATAGGCGCGCGGGATTTGCCCGTTCGCGGGGACGCTTCCGCCGACGATGCGGACTCCCCGCCTAAGGCGAGGGGCGCGGGGTCCAGCGCGGGAACGAGGTCGGAGGGATGCGGGGACAGTGCGCCATCCTCCCCCGGCAGCACCTGCGGAAGCTCTTTCCGCGCACCCTCTTTCGCCTGGTCCTTTCGCCGAATCTCCCCCGACAGCGGGGAGGGAGAGGCGGAGGCGGAAGCGGAAGCGGCGGAGGCGGACGGACTGTGCGCGTGCGTGGCGAAGGAGAGCGCGCCGGCGCGCACGAGTTGCGTGCACACCCCCTGGAGCATGAGCGCGCCCGCGAGCCATAGCGGGCCCGACGGGTACGCTAGGAGCACCAGCGTCGCGCCGTATAACAGCAATGTGACCGTTAGCCCGCAAAGCGTGGTGACGGAGGAGAGCAGCGGGCAGGCGGGCAGCGCGAAGAGAATCGCGGCCGTGCTGCGGCCCGCGAGGAGCAGCGTGGAGGAGGTTTCGGGCAGGTGGAATAGTTTCGCGAAGGAGGGGAGGAGCGGCGCGATGGAGCTGACGTTGAACTGATCGAAAAACATGGAGCCTGGGGGTGGGGTGGGGGGGGGGGGGGGGGAGAGGGGGAGGGCAGGAGGGGAAGGGGGAAGGGGGAAGGGGATGTTAGGGTGTATAAGCGGGTATGTAGGGGGGAATGCGGAAGGAGGGGAGGAGCGGCGCGATGGAGCTGACGTTGAACTGCTCGAAAAACATGGAGCGTGGGGGAAGAGGGGGAGAGGGGAGGGGGAGGGGGAGGGGGAGGGGGAGGGGGAGGGGGAGGGGGAGGGGGAGGGGGAGGTGGAGGGGGAGGGGGAGGGGGAGAGGGGGGGAGAGGGTGGGTTAAGGGCGGTAAATAAGGGAGATAGCGGCCAGGGGAACTGACGGAAGGAGGGAGGAGCGGCGCGATGGAGCTGACGTTGAACTGGTAAAAAAACATGGAGCCTGGGGGAAGAGGAGGGGGGGGAAGGAAGTGATGAGGGCGGTAGTTAGGGGGTAGTAACACGGAGGTAGGCGGAGAGAGGAGAAGCGGGTTGAAGGAGAACTAATGTGAAGTGAGCTCACCTGCGAGCAGTCGCAGCAGGCACAGGTCTTTACTCGACAGCCCCGCGTTTCTCACGCTCGCGCCGCTCATCGAAATTCTCGCGGATGCTCCGGCGGGAATCACGGCGGTGGACTCGTGATCCTTCCGCGAACCTCCGTAACTCCCGCTTCCCGCTGTCACCGCCGTTTCTCCGCCGGCAGTTGCGTCGCTAGCAACGGGCGGACCGGCGGAATCCGTTAGACTCGCCGCGACGGTCATTATCTCAGTAGCCTTGACTGGAGCTTCCTTGACAGGCGCTGCCTTGACTATTTGACCCCTTCGTCAGTCGATGATTTCGTAATCTAATGAAAGCTGCTAAACGAGAAAACCCCCTCGAACTATACAGGCCTATGATGCCCCCCGAACGTCTCTCTTTTCCCGACTACGATGTCTATCCGCCGCCTTGAAAGGTAGCCTTCTGCTGGCAAGCCTTGTTTTTCCTGCTTTTTCTCCTCGGCACGCCGCGAGCTCGTGTCGCCCGTCGCTTCGACGCGCGCTGCTCCGGAAACCGACTCGGTCGATTCGCCTAGTATTCGCCTTTCATCCGCATTTGTTGTAATCCCGAACTACTACGATAGCCCGATTACGTTTTGTCGTTTCTCTACCAACCGGCTACCGAATGCGGCTCCCCGTCAACCGTGACGTCACGCCTCGCGCTTCATCTCGCGGCCATCTTTCGATCGGAGCATTGCACGCCGCGCGGAGAGTCGTGTCGCGTCACTTTCTCCCCCAAAATATATACGCGTCGATTTTATTCCGAGCTGCTGGATTTTTCGCCGCGTCGCTGTCGTTGAACACTCCCGTCAGCCCAACGACACCGTTGAATAGCAGATACATGCGTCACAACACGTCATGAAACGTTCTGTTGGCGGACAAAAGAAGAGAGGGACGAGAATCCGCGTGACGGAGCAAAGGTGCCAGCTCTAGCTCAGGCTTCGCAATTCGCAACCCCCCTCCGCTCGCTCTCTGCTCCGCTGGTGCGCTACTAATGGTTGGGTTGGCGGCACTAATTTGGAGTGCGCTCCTTGGTCGTCTAGTCTCGGTCGGTAGGCACGATTGCAACTCGCCGAAGCAAAATTTCTGACCTTGGTCGACGTTCAGAACTCTGGCTGACAAAGCTGCTCAAAAGCTATCGGAGCAGCAACCATAATTTCGTTCCGCTCAACCATGGTTCACAGGACCTTCCCCTCCTCTCCATCTCCCCAACTCTCCAATTCCTCCCCACAGAAGGCATCGGGCATCTGGAGTTGAAGTGTACACTCCCCGTTTGACCATTTTGGGGCTGAAATGAACACGCCGCGTCTTGCGGGAGCCCTCATCCACCGTTGAACCGCGTTCGTATGAGGCTCATAGACGGTGGATGTGCGACGACGCCAGTCGCGACTCGCAATTATTGAGGCAGGCAGGTGACTCGCACCCAAGTCACCTGCCGCCGAATGCGTTGGCGTCGTGCTCAGACGAATCCCTGCTATAGGGGTGCGCTCGACTCCTGCATAAGATTTGTACACCCATTCAAATTTATTGTCTCACTCAGAACAGTACAGATTTCAATCTCACCTACCAGGTTCTTAGCATGACTCGCGTTGACACGCAACCTGATTGCCTGGAGCCTGAACGATAACGATCAGGCAAGTCGTATTTCGGCAATTGCGAGAATCCGAGCTGGGAGGTCGCGCGGGCATGTTATGAAGTGCATGAGCGAGAAACTGTAACCAAGTTTCAATATTTACTGCGGGTTTTCCCGTCAATGTCCTGTTTGCCGGGGTTTTATCGTTTCCCGCTTACAGGCTCAAGTCGCGTGCAAAAATCGTAAAACTCAATAGAAGAGAAGGTGCAAAAGGCTGTTTGGTTACTTTTTGTAAACAAGTACCAAATATGTTATGAATGAACAAGTAGAGTAGCGCAGAAATGAATAACGAAGTGTTGATCACTGAATGACGATACAAGGAACGGCAAGCCAAGATATAGGGACACCATAGCTAGTCTAACCATGAGATGGGAAGGTTCAGGAAAGAGATCGAAAGGTCTCGAAGTGACGAAGTGAGGCCCGGAGAACTCCCGAAGGTTGAACTAGAGGGTCTGGAGAAGCCGAGGCGGTTGTGTCAGAAAGGTCCGCAACTGTCCCGAGGCTTCGGGTGTGTTCGAGCGTACACGATAGCAGTACCGCTCGGTAAGGAATGGAAAATTCCTTACAAAATACATCACTTTGTAAAGTCAGCTTACATCCATAGTGCTGAAGTGAAACAATATCCGCAAGACAATTTTTGTCAGGCTTCATTCAATTCAGTCAAACGTCATCCAGGAACTGAAGGAAGTCAGCAAGCTCCTCCTCACTCACATACTTACCAGCACTAGCAGGAAAAGTTCCATGACCAGCATTTCCATCGCCATCAACTGCAGTGGCAGCACCAGTAGTGATAACACCACCAATGATAGCACCTGCCGTGGCAGCACTAGCAGTTGCAGCAACAACTCTGGGTTCAGAATCGTTGCCAGCACCACTGGCAGTACCAGGGTTGGCGGCAGTAGTGGCACTCTCAGCAGCATTAGAAGCACATCCCCTGGCATCAGAATCACCAGCCACTGTTTCGCCATCTCCCTCTGGAGCAGGAAAAACAGCCGGTTCAGGTCCCACAGCTGCAGGTTCAGGTGCCCCAGGAGCAGGTTCAGGTGCCTCAGCAGCAGGTTCAGGTGCCTCCGCAGCAGGTTCAGGTGCCTCAGCAGCAGGTTCAGGCGCCTCAGCAGCAGGCTCAGGTGCCACAGAAGCAGTTTCAGGTGCCACAGCAGCAGGCTCAGGTGCCACCACAGCAGGTTCAGGTGCCTCAGTGGTAGGTTCAGGTGCCATGACAGCAGGTTCAGGTACCACAGAAGCAGTTTCAGGTGCCATAGCAGCAGGTTCAGGTGCCTCATCAGCAGGTTCAGGTGCCATGTCCGCAGGTTCAGGTGCAATAGCGGCAGGTTCAGGTGCCACAGCAGCAGGCTCAGGTGCCATGACACCAGGTTCAGATGCCACAGAAGCAGGTTCAGGTGCCATATCTGCAGGTTCAGGTACCACAGCAGCAGGTTCAGGTGCCACAGCAGCAGGCTCAGGTGCCATAACAGCAGGTTCAGATGCCACAGAAGCAGGTTCAGGTGCCATATCTGCAGGTTCAGGTACCACAGCAGCAGGCTCAGGTGCCACAGCAGCAGGCTCAGGTGCCATAGCAGCAGGTTCGGGTGCCACGGCAGCAGCAGAGACCCTTTTAGCTGACATGGCAGCAGGAGAATCGGTTTCCTCTGCTTCCATTACCAGTTCCTTCTCCTGTGCTGCAACGTCTTCAGCAGACCGCAACCCAATCTCCTCTGTCCGTCGGCCATCCTCATTGCCTCCACTACCACCAGCATCCGCATTATTACTATTATTATTATTAGTATTATTATCATCATCATCATCCTCATCATCCTCGTCATCTAGAATCACCCGCCGCCTCTTGGGCTTGTGTTGTTTCACGGCGGCAGCAACACTGGCAGCAGCAGCCATAACGACCTCTGCAGCGGCGCCAGCACCCATATCATCCTCCATAAGAGCATCCTCACTATGTGCGGCGGGAAGATCAGAGTCTTCAGCTGCAGCAGCACCGAGGGGCTGAGTGGCGGCTGGGGTGGCGGCTGAAGTGACAGCTGGGGTGACAGATGTTGCACATGCTTCTGATCCTGTTGCTGCTCCCTTCTCCGCTCTTCCATCCGCTGCTGCTGCTGCCGCCGCCGCCGCCGCTGCTGCTGCTGCTGCTGCTGCTGCTGCTGCTTCTCCTGGGCATTTATTGTGAGGGACAGCCGAATCGTTCAGTGCAGCAACAGGCGTACTCGTCTTTGCACCACCACCCATGTTCTCTACACCACCGCTCACCGCATCCCCACTCCCTACCCTTTTCCCAACTCCCCCTTCGCCTGAATTCTTCCCCAGCTTCCCCCAACATGTTCCCCACAGCCCACCTTCCCCCCCACCCTTGCCGTTTTCCTCCCCTGGCTGCTGCGGCTGCTGCTGCTGCTGCCGCCTCCTGCCCTCTGGCGGCGACTTCTCTGGGCCAAACTCCACGTCAGCTCCTTCGACGTAAGCACTTTCCACGTCAGCCCTCCCGTTGTGGTTGGTATGGCCACGAGTGCCAACCCCACTCTCATCACCATCATCACCCCTATCCCCCCTCTTAGTACCACTCCCACCACCACTACAAGCAGCACCAGCACCCGCACCAGCACCCGCACCAGCACCAGCACCAGCACCAGCACCAGCACCAGCACCAGCACCAGCACCAGCACCAGCACCAGCACCAGCATTACCAGCACCAGCAGCAGGAGCAGCAGCACGACCAGCACCAATCCCTTTCCCAATGCCCCAGTCATCATCATCATCATCCCAGCCGGCGCCAAGGCCAGGAAAGTCGTCATCATCAGGTTCCCCCCCTGCAGCAGCGGCAGTGGCGCCACAAGCAGCAGCACCAGCAGCACCAGCAGCACCAGCAGCACCAGCGGCACAAGCAGCAGCACCAGCGCCACCAGCAGCAGCAGCAGCAGCAGCAGCAGCAGCAGCACCAGCGCCACCAGCAGCAGCACCAGCAGCACCAGCAGCAGCAGCACCACCAGCACCAGCAGCGCCAACCCCGTCATTCCCAAGGCCCCAGTCATCATCATCATCATCCCAGCCGGCGCCCAGGCCAGGAAAGTCACCATCAGCCCCCCCTTCCGCAGCAGCATTACCACCACCTTCCCCATCCTCTCCCCCGCCAGGCGTGTCTCTAAAGCGATCGCTGCCAATGCCTCTCCCGTGCTCGAAGTCGTCGATCAGGTCGCGAACGCCGCCCTGCACATGGGGTGTACATGACACGGTACGTGGTGGAGATGACACGCAGCGCCGCGCGCACATGAAACTGGGTGCACGGAGGGATGAAACGGCGGACGGAACTACTTGAGGTTTGAAAGACGTCTCTATTTGCTAGAGAAAAGAGAAAACCCTCTCTTCACGAGTAGAGAGCCTGAAAATGGAGAGCTAGCTTTGGCGAGCTTTTTGAGAATTCTCAAAAATCACTTGGCGAGCCTTGGAAAAGAGCAATACCCTCCCTTCGCGAAAAGAGAGGCTGAAAACGGAGAGCGAGCCTTGAAAAAGAGCAAAACCCTCACTATGCGAGAAGAGAGGCTGAAAGGAGAGAGCGAGCCTTGCGAGCGGCTATGCTGCTCTCATCGTAACGCTGCGCGTGTTGCCGAGTGAGTTTCTCCACCCTCATCCTCCACCCTTTCAACTCCGAGCTTCTTTCAACTTGAATAGATTCCGAGAAGGAGAGATCCTCAAGTCCGCAGCTCACTTACACACTATTCTGTTATGTGGATCAACCACTGCATGCGTTGATGGTTTCTCACTCACCCTAACAGCACGCGTGTTGCCCAGCTTCTCCACCTTCTCGATAAACTCCGCGAAGGAGAGCGCGGGGAAGAACCGTTTGTGCCATGCCACGTAGCCCTCCAAGATCCTCCTCAGGTCGCCCACCTGCCAAGTTCAAGCCAAAGGCACATGGATATGAGGCATCTTATAACGAGCTCCTCGAAGGAGAGCGCGGGGAAGAACCGCTTGTGCCACGCCAGGTATCCTTCCAGGATCCTTCGCAGGTCACCCCACCTGCCAAGCCAAAGGCACGCACACGAGGACACTAGCAGCGATTAGGGCGCGGAACCCAGGCATTTGTTTCAAACATGGAGAAATTATTCTCGAAATTTGAGAGGGTGGCTTCAAGGAAATCCCTTTAGAAGAGACACATCTTCGAAATCGCCTCCAAGCTACGCCAGTTCTCACCTCGTGCCCCCTCCCCTTCAGCTTGATCTGTTTCGGCAGCTCCTTCAGCACGTACGGCAGGCCCTCGTCCGATAGCAGCATCGTCGGAGTCAGCTTCGGCCGCTTCCGCGTCACCTTCGACCCCACCGCCCCCGCCGCCGCCGCCGCCGCCGCTGGCGCGTTGAGCCGATCGATTTCGTCAGCGCCATTCAGCCCCTCGCGCTGCTTGCCATCACCTGGACCTTGGGGGAAGCTGGTATAGGGCCGCTTGCCCTGAGGGAGATTTGAGCCGAAAGGCCGCTGAGCCGGGGACGCGTTATGGTTGTTCCCGCTATTGGGCATAAAGTGCCCCTCGCCAGTGTTGCGCGTCTCGGTATTCCGATTCTCGGCGGTGCGGCCGTCGGTGCCGACGAAATTGCAGTCCTTGGACCAGTGGCCGGGCCGGCCGCACTTGTAGCACCCGGTCGCTTCCAACACGGTCGCTTTGGCAGCGGGGAAACTCGGCCCTCTCCCGCCGTTCGTCGCCATGGTTCCTGTCTGAAACACCAGGTATAGTGTAACTAGCTGAGTCGAACTGACTGAATCGAACTAACTGAATCGAGCTAACTGGCGCGGAACGGATTGACTGGAAGCGAAGCTGCTCGACTTTGCCTTACGTCAACCTTCGTAGGCTGTACTTCAAAGCGAGCCCATAAAATGTCTGGATCCACGTTTAAATCCTCCCAACCGTCTTTTACGACCTGGAAGTCGGCGCGGCCTGTAAAGCTGGGAATGAACAACCAGAAACAACGAGCAGCGTTTATGAGTCGTGCTGCTGCTACGACCAGGTGCGCGGAAGGCCCGAATTCATACTGAACGAAAAAGCACTGGTACCGCGATTGCAGGATGCGAGTATGATGATGACATCTGGAGACTTGAGAGAGCCGTGCGAGAGACATGCCATCAAAAACGATCTCGGAACTGGGAGGCTGGTGTGTTGTGTTCGCGTTTGCGAGCCCAGCTCCGAGGTTCCTTCCACTCCGAGCCCCCCGAACCCGAAGCGCGGGGCGAGCTTGAATTTCGAGGTTTTGAATTCCCATTTGCATTTCCCCGACATACGACGAATCACCAAAGCACCTTGTGAAGACGAGGTGATCGGGGAAGCTCATTGATAAATACAATATCTAATACGCCTTAGTAAGTGGAACCATATACTGCACCACAGAACTATATTACATGGTATTTGAAATGTGTCTAAGGGCTGTAATTTCGCTCTAAAAAATGTTAGAAGGCTATTTTTTATGAGAACTCACATGGTCTTTGTTCGTAAGTTGTTTGTTCGTATTGTGGTGCGGTGTGGTGTGGTGTATGATGGAGGACAGAAGCTCAAAAGCGCTGTACCACCTCGGAAACATAAGCCACCGCACTGTACCGCTCGTAGGTCGGCAGGTGTGGATGGAGCCATTTTCTAGGTTCGTGGTGCAGTATGGTGCGAGGAGAATCTGCACAAGAGCCAGCCAGCCTCTGGAAGCCCGGATTTTCTAAGGGCGTGTAAAGCGCGTACGTTTGATTGCGGTCTGGTAAGGTGTCTCACGGGTCAGAAGGATCGATAACAAATATAAAACGGTTAGGTAGGGTTTTACACAAAAAAAACGTACGCGCTGGACACGCCCCCAGTACACGCCTCCCTTATCCCTGTCGCTCTCAGCCCATTCAGCCTCTGCCGGAGTACAGCATCAACAGCTATACAGCTGCAGTAGACAGGCATCGACTTCTCATTCTGGCAGTTGACGCGAGCTCCGATGTCGACTTCAATCGACTTGGACTCCTCCCCCGTCGACCGCCTCTCGGACGACTCACTGGGTCGCATCTTCGGCTACCTGGCACCGGGTTCAGTGGGCGGCGAATCGCCATTGCGAATCGGCGAATCGTCGGTTCAAATCGGCGAACTTTCAGCGCGAATCGGCGAGTCGTCGGCGCGCCGCGAGCAGCAGCAATCGATTCGCGAGCATATACCGCCAGCAGGAGCATCTAACCACTTGCAATTCCCAGAGAGCCCTGGATCCGATCCTTGCTGCGACGGTAACTACACCCTCGTCAGTCGCCGATGGTACCGTGTCGCATGTGCGACGCGCTCGCACGTCGCATTGTCGCCTCAGCGACGCCTGTGCACCCGGCGTTTTCTGAAGGGGTTGGCGTCTTTCCCATCGCTGACGTCGCTCACCTTGGCAGATGGCAGCCTCTCATTGGCCAACGATCATCTCCTGCGTCAAATGGCAGCCACGTGTCCATCTCTCACGCACTTACACCTCGGCAGCATGGCCGAGCCGCGTATTCTTCCCAACGGACGTGTCGCCTCCACGTCATCTCGTCCCGATCATCGCGCCGCCTTCACTGCTGCTGGGCTTGCGGCCCTCTCTTCTTCCTGCCCGCGGCTCGAGTCCCTGCAGCTCAACTGCCCGCCAGATCTGACCGTCCTTCCTCCGTCCATCTGCGGATTGAAACACTTGACGGCTTTAAAGATCACCGCTCGTGGACTGACGCGCCTTCCTGACGGATTCCGTCAACTGTCCGCTCTCGTCCGTCTATCGATCCAGTCAGAGGCGCTGGAGAAGCTTCCAGCTGGGTTTTCAACGGACACTGACCAGACTGCTGACGATCCCGTCCTGCTGACGAGTCAGGAGAATGGTTCTTTGCTGGTTCGCCGAAATAGCACGAGTAAGGAGATCAATTCTTTGGTGCTTTCTCCTCTCTCCTCTCTCCCCGTCTCACACTCCCCTTCTCCCGCACTCCGCCTCCCCACGCTCTCCGCGCTCTGCCACCTCTCCCTCTCCCGCTGCCGCGCCCTCCGCGCACTCCCCGCGTCCCTCCCCGCCGCCCTCCCCCGTCTCGAGTCCCTCGAGCTCCGCCAATGCGCGGCGCTCTACGTTGTCCCCCTGCGCCTCCCCGACTGCTTCCCCCGCCTGCGCGCGCTCACCCTCGCCCACCTCCCCGCCCTGCGCGCCCCCCTGCCCGCGCTCCTTTCCGAAGCTCCCCCAACTGCTGACGGCGCAGCAAGGGAAGCGGAAGGCGGAGGATCCGGGGGAGCTCCGAAAGGGGAGAGCGGAGAGGCTTGTACCGAGGTTACTTGTAAGGGGGATGGGGTTGATGGGAGGAATGGGGGGGAGAGGGGTGCGGGAGTGGAAAAACTGGAGTTATTCGGATGGAACCAGATTGTGGACTTACCAGGGGAGGCCTTTGCCTCTCTCTCCTCCTCTCTCACTCACATCACCATTGCCAATTGCGCCGCCCTCCACTCCCTCCCCAACGACCTCTGCCTTCTGCCGCATCTCTCCTCCCTCACTCTCTCCTTCCTCCCATTCCTCTCCGCCCTCCCCTCCTCCCTCCACCTCCTCTCTCACTCCCTCCTCCACCTGGAAATCACCTCCTGTGACACCCTTGAGAGCCTGCCCTCCTCCCTCGCCTCCCTCTCCTCCCTCCATTCATTACACATCACTGCCTGTGGCTCCCTCGACCGTCTTCCCCCCTCCCCCACTTTCCTCTCAGCCCTTCGCTCCTTGCAAGTCGCTGCTTGTGGCGCTCTCGGCCGTCTCGCCCTCCTTCCTCCTCCTGCTGCTGCTGCTGCTCTGTTTTTTGAGGGAATGTCTGCAGCGAGCCGCAGCAGTGGTGCCGCTGGTAGAATCAGCCGACTTGTGAACAGCTGCAGCAGCGGCGGCGGCGGCAGCAGCAGCGGCTGGAGTGCCAGCAGCAGCAGCAGCAGCAGCAGCGGGTCACACCTCTTCTTCCTCCCGTCGCTCACAACCTTGCACGTATCCCGCTGTGAGCGCCTCACTGCTCTGCCTCGTACCTGGCTGCACCTGCCGGCCCTGCAGGAGCTGGTAGTGGACTCTAATGGCCAAATGGAGGCACTCTTTGACGGGGATGACACTGTTCATTCTGATTCTGCTCCTTCTGGTGATGTTCCTTATGATACTGCTCCTCTCTCTCCCCCACCCCTCCCCTCCCTACACACTCTCACCATCTCTGACTGCCCTCGCATCTCCCTCCTCCCCTCCTTCCTCTCTCGCTCCCCCTCTCTTCGGCACTTGAAGCTTCATCGCCTCTCATCCCTCGCACTCCTGCCACTCGATACCCCTCCTCGCCCTGCTGTGATGGACACTGCTGCTATAACGGATACTGCTGCTGTAACGAGCACAGATGTGGTAACTAGCACTGGCGCTGTAACGGTTGCTGCAGAGGGCACTGATCCTGTGGAGCATGTTGCTCTCAGAGGCGTGGGTGTGCTGCCCGCGTTGGTATCACTTCATATCCACTTACAACACAACATACGCATCACACACCTCCCTCACTCCCTCTTCTCCCTCCCCTCCCTCGCCACCCTCACTCTCTCACACCTCGGCCACGTCTACTCCATCCCCCACTCCCTCTCCCTCCTCGCTCCCTCCCTCACTCACTTACACATCGCTCACTGCCCCCTGCTGGCATCCCTCCCCTCCTCCCTCTGCCTCCTCCCCTCCCTGCAATCCCTTCACATCCAATCCTGTGAGTCCCTGACATCCCTCCTGGAGGAAGGGGAGGAGAGTAAGGAGGAAGGGAAGGAGGAGGAGACTGAGGAGGGAAAGGAGGAGGAGACCGAGGAGGAGAGAAAGGAGGACGAGGGAAAGGAGGAGGAGAAGGCACAGGGAGAGGTGGAGGAGAGTGGAAGAGTCTTGAAGGAGGAAGGCAGTGATTTGAGGAGGCGCGCACCAAACAGTTCCATGGCTGCTATGTACTCGTTACAATCACTCTCCATAACACATTGTAAATCGCTGACACACCTGCCATCCAGCATCGGCCTGCTACCCCGTCTCACCTCCCTCCATCTCTCCCAACTAGACAACCTCACCTCTCTACCGCCCTCTCTTCCCCTCCTCCCCTCCCTCACCTCCCTCACTCTCTCCGCCTGTCGCCTCCTCTCCTCCCTCCCTCCCACCTTCGGAAGCCTCTCCGGCCTGCAGACCCTGAAACTTTCCAGCCTGCCCAGACTTGCAGCCCTGCCCGATTCTTTCGTGCAGCTGCCCCAACTAGAGCAATTTACCCTGCAAAACTGTTCCTTGCTGCGCAGCCTGCCTGACTCATTCCCCCACCTTCCCCGCTTGGCCAAGCTCAGCATAGTGGACTGCCGTAACATTGAGCGGTTACCAGCAAATCTAGGGTTACTTTCTTCTTTGGAATGGTTGGAGCTGGCAAGCCTGGCGAATCTGGTAGAGTTACCTGAGTCAATGAGGCAGCTGCCCAGGCTTTGGCAAGTGGAGATCGGGGGGTGCAAAGGGATGAAAGGCATGCCGGAGTGGTTGAAAGGTATGGCGGGCTTGGACCTGATAGTGTCTGATAAAGCGCCTTAGTTGCTGCTGTCAAACATATTTGTGTATGTTTAGTAGTGTTGGGCTGAGAAAAACCCTTTAGGATCTTTTGCAGAGATTAAGTCCCAGCTGTAAAGACTTGAGACTTGGAGTAGTGCAGCGGAAGTTGAGGCAGTTGAACCCTTGTACTAGTATGTGAGAACAAGTGATTGATTAAAGAAACAAGCATACAGCAATATATAGAAGATAAGGAAGCAGTTGTAGAATACAGTTACAGGAACGGTTTATCGAGTCGCACAGCGACTCGATTGCCGCTTCGGTTACCATCCGTGATGTTGTAACGGTCAGTCGCAACCTCCAGTTGCGACCTTTCGAGTCCTTTCGCATTCTTTGTCCGCCCCCTCGTGTAACCTCCGTTGACTCGCGTGCTCCCCTGTAATCTTCCTCGAGTACAGTGTTACACTTCAGAAACGCTTAAGTCCTTGAGATATTTCCAACACTCCCCTTCGTTTCTGGAGTGCTGGAGTGTTCAGATCCGGTGACGTTTGTTTGCCCGGTTAGGAGCATGCAGTAGTCGAATTTTGCTTTCGCCAATTTCTTCGTCAGATAATCTGCGGCCATTTCTGTCGTCGGGCAGTAACTGAGTTGAAGTCTCCCCTTCGCGATTTCATCCTTGACGAAGAAGTACCGCAGGGCGATGTGCTTGGTTCGGTTGGCGAAGCCGTCCTTGTTCGCGATTTTTATCGCAGATTGGTTGTCGCAGAGGAGTGAGAAGGTGGGCAGGGTCGCGATCTTCGCTTCTTTGAGTAACTCTCGTAGGTAGAGTCCTTCCTTGGTCGCAGTACAAAGGGCGATATACTCTGCTTCAGCCGAGGATAGTGCGATTAACTCCTGCTTGCTCGACTGCCAGGAGATAGTTCCGATAGGTTCTAGTCGGTAGATGTAGCCCGTCCTAGACCGTCGATTTTCGCTGTCTCCCGCGTGGTCGGCGTCGACGTATCCGAGTAGTCGTACGGACGGTGTTGTTGCCTTGCTGTAGGTGAGCCCGATCGTCGGCGTGGAGACGAAGTAGAGTAGCGCTCGATTGAGTTCTTCGAGATCTTCCTGTTGCGGCTGCTTCAGATGTGTCGCCAGCTGGCTCGCACTATAGGATAGGTCGGGTCGGCAGGTTACTGTTGCGAATAGTAGACAGCCGAGCTTCTGTTGATACTCCTGGATTTGTTTCGCGGGGAGTTTTGTGGAGGCGCTACTGTTGTTCCCGTAGCGGTAGGGAGTTGGGACCGCAGTCGGTGTTAGACCGAATTTCTTCGCGACGGTGCTTGAGTACTTTCCAGCGTGTAGGTAGAACGCCGTGTCGTCTTCGACGACGTTCAGTCCTAGGTACTGCGTCACCTCGTCGGACACCGTGAGCGTCAGGTCCCTTTTCAGCTCCCCTTCGAACCAGGTGACGATGTCGGTGGTAGAACCGATGTAGAGCAGGTCGTCGACGTAGACGATGAGCAGAATGTAATCTCTTCCCTTCTGTAGTCGGTACATGCCTTGGTCATGTGGTAGCTGTAGGAATCCGATTTTTACGAGCCGGCCGTGAAGGTGCTGCTGCCAGAGCCGTGGGGCTTGCTTGATCCCGTAAAGGGATTTTTCCAGCTGGCATACTTTTGAAGGGTCGTCGATGAATCCGTGGGGTTGTTCGACGAAGATTTCGGCGTCCACAGGTGCGTACAAGAAGGCGTTTGCAACGTCGATTTGCCGTAGTGGTAGTTTCTTCGTGGCCGCGATGGCGAGTAGGATGCGCAGAGAGGTGTGACGGGAGACTGGAGCGAAGGTTTCTGTGTAGTCGGTTCCGTATCGTTGATCGAAGCCTCGTACGACCCATCGAGCTTTGAATCGTTCGATGGAGCCGTCTGAGTTGGTCTTGATGCGGTACACCCATTTCCCCGAGAGAATGTTCTTCCCGTTGATGCTCGTTGCAGGTACCAGTTTCCATGTTTCTCGGTCTTGCAGAGCTTTTAACTCTTTTTCCATCGCTTCCTTCCATTGTGCCTTATGTTCCCCCCCCAGAGCCTGCGACAGGGTCGACGGCTCGCGCGGAGAAGGCGGCGGCGGGTGCTGGACGGAGACCCATAGTCCTAGGATCTGCAGTCCCGTGGCTGTGTGTCGAGGGGAGTTTTCATTCTCGGGATAAGCTGCTTCATCACCGTCTTCAGGATCGGGTAAGAAGTTTGGCCCGATGCGTTCGGAAATATTCGAGTCGACGGGGTGTGGTGTAGCGTAGCCTTGGTCAGCGAAGTGGTAAAAGGTGTCGAGGTTGTTGCTATCGAGAGGATTATCTTCATCGAGTGGAACAGGTACGGAGCAGTAGGGGAGTGGTCCGGCAGCCTCCGAGGCTCCAGGGACGTCTTCTTCTGCTGCGTCAGCCTCGGCAGCATGGTCAGCGAAGGAGCGAAGGCCCGCGAAGCCGTCGGTGGGGTCGTCTGAGTTGGCAATGTTGTCCAGGTAATGCTGCAGCGTCAGTCGCTCGTAGAAGATAACATCACGTGATGCCACCGTATTTTTGTCGTGTATGTCGAGAATCTTCCACGCGTGAAAATGTTTGGCGATGCCGAGGTGTAGTCCCCACCGAGCTCGTTGAGTGAAGCGTCCTGCTCGAGCTGTGTGGGGTCTGTATTGTACCATGCAGCCGAAAACTCGAAGTAATTTTGTGCTGCCCCTTTTTCCCGTCCACAGCAGGTGCGGTGATGCGTTGTTGGGGAGCGATGACGAGGACAACAGGTTGTGCAGGTGGACTGCATGTGTCATCGCGTCTGGCCACAGTGTATTGGGCAGCCTCATCCCCAGAAGCAGTTTTCGCATCGTCGTCTGCAAGGTCCGGTTCATGCGTTCTGCTACCCCCTGCTGCTGGTGAGCATAGGGCAGAGACACCAGGCGTCGGATTCCCCTTTCCGCGAGATAGGTCCTGAAGCGTTGTGACTGGTATTCCAGTGCACCGTCTGACTGGAAACTCTTGAGTTTGGTTCCTGACTCTCGTTCGGCGATTGGAAGCCATGTGGTGAAGGCCTCGAAGGCTTGATCGCGCGTTTTGAGATTGAAGTGCCAGACGTATCTGGTTGCGGCGTCGATGAACGTGATGACGTAGTTGAAGTCGGCTTCGGTGTCGTCTCGAGGCATGTTTAGAATATCGCTGTAGACCTTTTCCATCGGAGCGTAAGTGGGTGCGCTTGGATTGTGATGGGCTGGGAAAGGTTGATGAGGAAGATCTGCTTCGGGGCACGTGAAGCATCGTGCTCTTGGTCGGCGAAGTTCTTGGCCGCTCGTCGTTAGAAGGGCGTTACGTTCTAACACCTCTGCTTGTATTGTTTGTAGTATCGTGCTGTTTGCAGGATGTCCGAGACGTTGGTGCCAGATGTCGTCGGGAGCGCGGTGACCGGGCGAGCGGTGGTAGATGTCGGCGTTGGAGAAGAACGCGACGACCGAGGCGGGACTTCGACAAGCTTCTCGTGTGGCGGGCATAAGTTGGTCTGCTTCCGTTGGCGGTCCTCGTGTTGATGGTGGTGGTACTCGGCTGGGTCCTGCTGCCGATACTGCAGGTGATGGTTTTGTTGGGACGCTTGCTGGTACTTGTCTTTCTTGTCTGATAACTGCTAATGCCCGTGTTCTCTCTGCTGCAGGTATGGTGTTGGAGTGCCAGAAGCCGTCACTGTCGAAGTCGGGATCAAGATCTGGTGGGTGAGTCCAGGCGGCGAACGATACGATGCCATCGCTGTCGGCAGTTCCGCGGTCGGGGACGAAGTCCAACACGAAGACACCGGACTTCAGGAGGGCACGACCGATGAAGAGACCGCCCTTCCCGTGGTAAAGTCGGAACTCGTTGGAGAAGGAGTCGCACTCCAGGTGAATCCCCTTAGCCATTAGTTGGCTTACGCTTAGTAGGTTGTATCCCAGATTGTCGACGATGAGGACTTTGTTGAGCTGAAGAATAACGTTTGTCTCCATTGATTGTAACTGAACCACGCCTTGCCTGTTTGTTTTCAGGTTTTCGTTGTTGGCGACGGTGATGACGACGTCGCGGTTGAGGCGTCGCTCGTGTTGTACGAAGCGTCCGGAGGAGCACATGTGCTGACCGCAGCAACTGTCCAAGAACCAGGTGTTCCGCCCGGTGGGTTCGGCGTTAGCGACTGCAGCGTATGTCGGGTTGACCTGAAGTCCTTGCGAGCGCGGCGGCGGGAATTCCTCTTCGTCTGGTGCGTAAGTGGGTGGTGAAGCGGGTGCGCAGTTGTCGATGTGTACCATGCAGTTGATGATGTTGGGTGTTTGTTGTGCAGATGTTGAAGAGCGCCTTGGAGGACTTGCTTGAGTGGAAGCGACTTGTGGGTCTGCTGCACGGTAAACGCGAGGGCGGTTGCAGTTGACCTTGGAGTGCCCGGAAGTCTGACAGTTGTGGCAGAACGGCGGCACGATGGTGAGTCCTCGGTTGTCGCGTTGATCTTGCTTGCTGCGTCGGTTGTAGTTGTTGTCATTTCTTCTTTGAGTGTAGAAGACTAACTGCTGTTGCTTCCTTGGTTGTCTTTCCTCGAACAGATCCATCTCCTGTTGTTCAGCGTGAAGCTCGGCGCAGAGGTGCATCTCCGAAATTCTTCCGTGGGCTCGAAGAAGTGATCGTGTGGTTCTCCATTCTGGCCCGAGCCCGGCGAGGACAAGTGTCACGAAGCTTTCTTCAGTGATCGTTCCTCCGCACCGAAGCAGGCGGTCGCGGAGGGTCTGGCAGCGACTCATATACTGCATCGCCTTTTCCCCGGTCTTCATCTGTATTGTTGTCAGCTGTTGCATGAGTCTGCTTTGTGTCACGCTGTCGTTTGCTTGGTAAAGGCATTTGAGGTGGTGCCATGCGAGCTCCGCGGAGTTTCC